TTTTGGACTGGAAGGACTCGAAGCTGGCGCGCTCCACGACCTGCACTGGGCTGAGCCACAAGGTCAGTCGACTCGACATTTGAGGCTTTCGGGTAGGATTGCACTCGGGTTCGTCAACCGTCCGGCTGGACCTATCATTTCCAGAGAATATTTGCTGCTGCTGCTGCTGCTGCTGCTGCTCATTGCCCAATCCAAACATTTCCAAACCAGCCTTCACAGCATGCCGACCGCCACCGGCAACTCGAACCCCCAGCCTTTCCGAGCTCTGGGCTACGTCTCAGGGCAACCGAGGGTTGTGAAGCAGAAGGATGCAAAAGGATTCGAGATAGACAAGCGCGCCGGTGGAGGCCCAAACAAAAATCGCCGGACGACTGACGCATTCTGCACACACGGCTTGGTGACGCAAGGCGTGATGCCAGGTGTCTGATGCCACTTCCGCGGGATGCACGAGCCCGCACTCAGCCTTTGGCACAGCCCGGCCCTTAAGAGCGCGGGCGCGCTCGCGCGCGGAGGGGAACTAGCTGTTACCACAACAAGCCGTAAACTCCTAAACCCTATCAGAGTTTCAAATTTAAGCTTTGGTTACATCGGTCTGGTTTGGCACCATGCGTCTTGAGAAACGCCCCTACAAGGCCGGAAGGTGCTCTCATGGCAGGTGTCTTTGCGACGACACGTGTCTTCGCCCCGACCTGCCTTCGCCAAGTGCGCCTGGACGCCCGCATGTGTTTTCGTCTGTGCCTTTGTTTGGAAAGTGTCATCACACGCCCATGTGTCTTCGCTGCAGAAGGCGTTCTACCCCGACATGTTTTCGGCAGATGTCTTTGCACACCCACACATGTCTATCGGAGTCTGTCGTGTCTTCACCCTGGGAAGATGCGGGGAGTGTCTTGGTCAGGGAAGAGTTGTCATCGAACGCTTCGCAGCCGTTTTTCCATGTTTTTCGGAACAGTTCCATGTGTCTTCAAAACGCATTTTCGGAGATATGTCCTTCCAAACAAAAAGTGTAGAACTGGGCAGAACGGCACGGCAAAATCGCCACCATGCTCACCCGACATTATGTGCCCCTGAGACTCTGGCCCCGCCCGGATCCCTCACCTTGCAGCTCCTACACCCCACCGTTCGGCCACAGTTTTTTCGGCAGGGACCGCCTGGGCCACCTCTTAGCCTTTAGAGTCCTACAAGTCCCCGGCCCCGAGGATTGCAGCTGGCACATGTGCTCGCCTGGCCAGGGCTTGCCGCGGAGCCGGGCCGGGAAACGGAGAGTGGAAATTAGCCAACACTTTCAACAAACCAAGAAGAGCTTCCTGTTGTGTCTTCGCTTCCTATTCTCCAGCCCGCCCTCACCCGAAGCCAATCACCAAACCGGGGCGTTGGCATGGCGGGTGTTAGTTTCACTTTGTGTTTCACTTCACGGTTCCATGCAACGGTTCTCCCGAGATTTTGGGATGCCAGAGGCTGATGTCCATACTCTTTCTCACATTCCAGGGCCAACAACTCGAGAAGAAGAGGCATCAAGACACAGCATGTTCGTCAATGGCAGCTTCCCCTGCCGTAGCCTCACTTCGCTGAAGTTTCCTTTGCCCAGGAGTGTTCTCAAGTCCTGGGCAAACGGACTTGATCGATGTGATGGTTCCATTGGCTGATAGCGCTGGACCTTCATAATTCATAATTTCATTTGGCTAGTGTGTGTGTGTGTTATAAAACGCTAGCAAAGCACTGTAGCCATCTTGGGCACGCCAAGTCATGGACCTACTACACTATGTGTCACCCATGTGTTTTCCAACTTTGCATGCAAGCTGCCCACTTGCGGAGAACATCCTCTTCTTGAACCAGATTCTCACCAAAGACGCCCACTTGCTTGTTAGCCTTCATTGCAGCCGACTCAGCTTCACAAGTGCTTCATACAACTCCTTCAGTACAGGATGTGCACTGTGGCCAGTTGCATGCCCGAGACAGTGGCCTGGACGTCGGCGGGTTCACCTTGTGCTGTTCTTGATGCAGAGCTGATGAGAAGGAGGCCGTGTGTCAGTCCATTAGGCACCAAAACCACTACACTACATGACTACATGTGTGTCGCAAGTTGCCCCGACAAATCCTGCCGGGGGACCCTCTCTGACGAACGGTGGGAAATGCTGGGAACAGCTTGTGTGTAGGGTTCCAAATCATCAGGGGGGCCGCATCTGCTCCTTGTGGATTCCGCGGTGCTCCGTGGAGCTTCTCCGCAGGAAGCAGCGACAGATGCGACAGCTTCTGAGCTTCACTGCTGGGATGCGTTGGGGCACGGGCCAAGGCCGAGAACATCTGGCACCGGCACCTCCTTCGGGCAGATCCTGGCAAGCACATGCCGACGCGCTTCACACGACCGCGTTTCAATCAGGACGTCCATTGCGAGCGACCCTGGGTGACCCGGGTGACGGCAATTCAATTCTTAACAGTCTCCACGACCTTCGCCTCTTTGAAGCTGCCGGCAGCGCCTCCTGAAACAAGATGTGTGGACGTGGCACAATATGCATGGAATGCATGGAACATGTCCGCGTGATGGTTCTGGTACAAAGGTTTTCAGGTTCGTCATGCACCTTTATTGCTTGTTTGGCGGTCCTGGCGCGAGGTTTCCCGGAACACAAAGACGGCAAAGGCCTGGGCACCGAGCCCGACGGCCAGGCATGCGTATGCCGGCGGGTATGCAAAGAGAATCCGCCCACACTCCGCCCACCGTCTGTGGAAGGTTGTTCCCACCCCTCCCCTCGCTGACACGTTGCACCGCCCCCTCATCCCGGCATGTCGAGGAAAAGCTTGAAGCATTCCCCAGAAACTCTGTAGGGGGCTACCATGGGCTATCGACCAAAAGACTGCCTAGCGGCCCGGACCAAATCGCAGGGAGTTTAGGGGCCAGGGGCCAAAGTTCGCCGAGCTGGGGTTCCCAGAAGGCCCCCTTGGAACTCCCGACAAACCCTCTTTAAGGCTTGCTGGTAAACTTGGCGCACTCTGCCCGCCTTGTTCTCATCTCCTTCTATCGATGTGTGGGGCGGGTTGACCAAAGAGATCTGCGGCCAAAGAGGAATTCACTAGCAGTTTGCAGGGTAAAGCTGTCTTCCCCAACCGTCCTGCTACAAGATTTCATTGCCAAGTTCAAACGATGCTGACCGTTGAATGGCTTGTTTTTTGTTGTGAGTCTAAGGTGGCCTCTGCTCAGCGGGGTAACAACATGTACTTCCAACATGTGTATGAAACTACAGATGAGCAAAGTTAGAGCTCCAAAAAACCCGAAAGATTGCAGCAACAATGGACCCACTTAGGCCTTCAGCTGACTCCTACGATATTGCCCCCACTTACGGCAAGATTTGTCTCTCCGGGGGCGAGAGTTCCACGGTTTACTGAGTGGGCCGTAGTGACTGTAGCGTGGAGGCTTACATTCGCATGCTTCGGGTTTAGTATGGTTTAGTGTCCTGGGTTAAGCAGTGCTCCTGACCTCCGGACTGTCGCATCCATCATTGTGACAAGGGAGAGAACCATGATGAACCATGGAATGGCAACAGGGTGCTTCCCCACAACATCATGCCGCAGACTCAAAACCGCAGCACAGAGACCTACGGATCCGAAAGAAATTTAGGGTTGCTATGAGAGTCGTAATTAATGTTGCACCCGCAATATTCTAGGGGGCGCTATTATGAAAAGTTTTTCGGCTATTCAGGATCTGGACCCTTTGTTTTGGAGGTCCGCTATAATGAAAAGTTTTCGGGCCGTGACTGTTTTTTTGAGGGTGTCAGGAAGGCATAAGCTTCTCGAGAAGGAGAGATACTTGAAGCCTGAAGCCTCGACCTGTCCAGGATCTCCGACAATCTTCTTTTTTCAGGGCGCCTTTTCTTTATCAATTCCTTACTTAAAACTAGATGATTCCATAGGCGAATCATATCCGGAAAGGGGGTACCTTACGGAGGCCTCCGGACACACTTTAATACCTTTGTTTGGGGGCCCGCTATAATGCAAGTCTCCCGGGGCCAGGGGCTCAGTCCTTCGGTTTTCAGGAAGGCATAAGCTTTCTCGAGAAGGAGGGATACTTGAAGCCTGAAGCCTCGACCTGTCCAGGATCTCCGACAATCTTCTTTTTTCAGGGCGCCTTTTCTTTATCAATTCCTTACTTAAAACTAGATGATTCCATAGGCGAATCATATCCGGAAAGGGGGTACCTTACGGAGGCCTCCGGACACACCTTAATACCTTTGTTTGGGGGCCCGCGATAATGCAAGTCTCCCGGGGCCCGGGGCTCAGTCCTTCGGTTTTCAGGAAGGCATAAGCTTTCTCGAGAAGAAGGGATACTTGAAGCCTGAAGCCTCGACCTTTCCAGGGTCGGGGGGTAGCTTAGGGAGGCCTCCGGGCTCCGGACCCCCCCCCCCCCTCCCGACTGTTTGGGGTCTTTTTTTATTCAGGGTCCCCCCCCCCCCCCCTCCCGACTGTTTGGGGTCTTTTTTTATTCAGGGTTGCGACTGTTGAGGGGGGGGGGGTAACTTATTGAAGCAGGTCCAACATGAACTCCTAGGGTTTAGGGCCGAGGGCTTTGTGGAAAACGTTTGACATTCGGGCTTGGCTCACGACCTGGACACTATACCAACCTGATAGAGACTCAGACTATGTCATAGCAAGTGTTCGGTATGGCCTGGTCCCCGTGGCAAAGGGCCCTGGTCTCGCCCTTGTGCAGCCTGCGGTCATCGTCTGCGTTTGATTTGGAGCGAAGCCAGAATATCAATCGTGCAGCCGCTTGCAACCCGCGGCGCAGCTGCGCTCCCCTGTTTTCATCTTCCATTTCTGTCGGCGAATCCGGCTTTCCGTGCTTTCCTTCTTCGGAGCGGACCGCAGCTAAAAGCCTGACCAGGTAGTCGTCCTCCGGCAGGCCAAGCTCTTGGAGTGCCTCACAAGTCAGGGAAGGCAACTGGCCTCCAGTCCCTCGAGCTGATACTTCACCCGTGCATTCCTGTGTGATGGGCATCTGCAGCTTTTGGACATCATGCCGCCTCCACAAGCGAGAATAAGTACCTTGAGCTCTGGTCTTGTTTACAAGGGCTTACAGTGGACAACTCAAGACTACAATGACTACAACTCCAAACCATCGCGCAATGAGGCAATGAGATCAACAATGAGACCAACATTTGCCAGGGTTTGGGTGGAGGAGCTCATCGTTGGGCCCCGAAGGTCCGACGGCTCTTGCGATGACCTTCGCTGATGCCTCCACAGACTCCGGGCCAGCATAGGCCGCACTGCACTCCTCAACCGGACCCAGTGCTTCTTTTGTCTTCTTCTGTTGCGTCTGATTCTTTGCTGTGCTTTTTTCTGCTGGGCTTGGCACAACATGATGTGGCCAAGGCTCTGGATTGTAGGTGTAGTAAATGACAGCCTCGCCACACGAAGGGAGCTCATCATGCCCATCGGAGCTGACAGGATACAGTCTCGTCAGAGTTCGGGTGTATCCATGCCTGCGAGGCGATGGTGACAGCAAACATGGTGTGACATCAACGAGGCTGACATGCCCACTCCAGAAGCACTGTTAACAGGTGGCACATCTCAGCAGGGACACAAAATACAAATATTGGCAATTTATCTCTCTCCGGTTCATCGGAAATCGTGAAATATCTTCAAAGCGAAAACTCTAAGGCCAAAAAGCCAGCATTCACTCGGGGTATGGATTTTGGAAATGGGCACCGCCTCCTCAATCCACGAGTTCCTATTTCTTCTGCATCTTCCTGAACGCAGTTTCCTGGGTTGAACGATTCTTGCTGATTGCTTTAAGTTCTCTTTGGAGTGGGAACCGGGCAGTGGCTTGCTAAGCAGGCCTTGTTGGACTCCTGAGACTGCTTTCCCAAAAATAAAGCCCAGGGTATCGCATTCGGGTTAGGTGTCACCTCCTGTGCAACTGTTTCACTCCAGGCTATCCTAGACTCCCTAGACCAGATCTGAAAGGAGGGGTTTTGCCAGGCACCTGCCTCTCACGGATGTCCAAGGTTTCCAAGACATCTTGCCTGAAAAAGACTGTCGCATGCTCGCACTCACACTCTACTGTGAAACACTTGACCGACACGCGTCTGCTTGAGCGAAGGCCGGAATTATCTTAAGCATCTTGCCAGTCTGCTGCGTCGACCTCAGGGTGAAGGGATGTGCTGGGGCAATGCTATGAAAGCGGAACGCATGTGTGAAATCCGTGTAATTGCCGTGCCCCGAGATGTCGGGATGGCAACCTCCCACCTCGAAGGCCATGCCGAAGACAACATCTTCTCCATCGCCCGCGATCTGCGATACATCCTGCAAAAGTATGCAGAGCCGGAGAAAGAGTTCACTTCCATTCAGTTTACCATCCTGTGAAGTGTGCGCAACTTCGAAAAGTTTCAGCCACATGCTAATCAACTGTCGCTTCCATCTGATTGCATACCAGGCAGGCCCGTCATTACAACGGGCGGGCCCGTTAACACGGCATTCGAGCAACGGCAGATTTGTTAACGTGGCAAGAAAAGGATATCACGATGGATCAGGACCAACGGCTTGAAGAAGCCCAGGGCCGTCGGCGCTTCAGGACGGAATGTTAACACCCCGAAAACCAACCAATTGAGATGCAAGGATTGCATCGCATCCTCCAAGCCTCTTCTTCAATGAATGTTTGACAAGAATTCCAGGAGATTGTTTTCAAGGTGCAAACCACACGCACAGCAATTTCATATAGTCTCAGAGCAACAGCGCTCTGCTTCGGCTCACCTAGTCTTGGCTGCTTTCCGAGTGTTTCGGGCTGACTAAATGTTGAAACATCACACGGATTTGCCGTGGGTCGAATACTCCTGACAAACACCAGCATAGCATGCACATGATGCTTGGAACATTAGATTTGGCCATTGCTTGCTATGGATAACATGAGAATGTGTTTGACGGCATCGCAACTGCACCCCACACACAAGATCATTTTCCCAGGCCGATCTCAAAGAAAGCTCTGCTTCTGGCTATCTGCAGATAAACCATGGTCCCTGGCAATCGGATGCCTCTGTTTTGCACGAAAGCACAAACCGAAACTCTCTATATGGCTTATGTAGGGCTAAAACCGCACTCCAAGATATGAGTAGGTCTTAATAGAGACATGCGATCTATGACCCCCTGAAACCCAATCACGGATGATCACTCATGAACACTATATAGCTGCAAGGTTTGGCGCAACAGAACGCGCGGACACGCGGACACGAGGACGCGACGACACGCGGACGCGTGGACCGAACGCGCTCGAGGACGCGCGGACGCACGGACACGCGAACAAGCGGACACGCGGACAAGCGGACAGACGGACACGCGATTTTGCGGGCGCGCGGACACGATGAACCACTACGCGGAACTAAAAGCGGTCAGACCCGCGAAAATAGGCATAGTATGCAAGCATTTCACTCTAAAGCATACCTGATCTAAGACTTTCGGGTTTCGGAATGTGACTTCTTCTTGCGCGGGACTTGCAGCTTAAATGCATTCCTGACATATATTATTGGCTGTGGGTCTAAATGGGGGTATGTCGCGGTGTCCCGACCCCCACCCGTGTCACATATGTATGTCACGCCCACTTGTTTCACCTGTGTGTCGCGGCGTTTGTCGCGGCTGTTTCGCGCGCTGTCTAAATGCCTGCGTAGTCGAAGGCTGCAGTTCCAAGAAGGGGTTGTCGCAAAGGCTTGTCGCGGAGGCTTGTCGCGGAGGTTTGTCGCGGATGCTGCAAGCAAACCCAACCATACTTTTGGGTTTTGGATAGGGGGCGTTGGGTTTAGAGGTTTGGGGCAAACATGGGCAAACCCAGGCCCTTCTCGCGGTCGTGGGGGGGGGGTTGGGTTTAGTTTTGGGGTGCAAGCAAACCTTGAGATAGGGGATTGGGGCTGTATTTCAAGTCTCGCAGTCCAGATGGGGGGTGTTTTGGGTTTGGGGGTTTGGGGCTGCATCCAAGGGTTGGCCCAGCCCCCCTTCTCGGGGTGCGGATGGGGGGGTTGGGTTTCGGGGTGCAGATGGAAGGGGTTGGGTTCAGGGGTTTGGGGCATTTTGGGGCTATTTCAAGCAAACAGGGGTTTGGGGCTGTATTTCAAGCAAACCCGGTCGAGATGGGGGGGTTGGGTTTAGGGGTTTGTGGCTGTATTTCAAGCAAACCCAACCCCCCCTTGTCGGGGTCGAGATGGGGGGGGGGGCTTGGGTTTAAGGGTTAGGGGCTGTTTCACTGAAACATTGTTTCGGATTCAGGGGTGTGGGCCGTGCACTGCTCATACCTCTCAAGAAATTACGTGTGGGTTTTTCGAACAACTTCTGTGACCTTGTGCTGCAGAGCAATTCAAGGGATGGATCTCTAGTCTCGTGTTAGGGCTTCGGGGTTTCTACTGCTCCTTTCGGGAAGGTGTCGGACTTGCACTGCGCTCTGCATCGGTGAGCATGGACTTCTTTGGCTTCTTCACTGCGCGGATATTGCCAAGAAGCCGAGACAGCATGGACCCGCGCAAGCGCGCTGGCGCGGAGCAGAAACACTCGGACGAGGGAACACGCGGACGCGCGGACTTGCGGATGCGCGCACGCGCGGATGCGAGGACGCGCGGACGCGCGGACGCCCGGACACGCGGACGTGCAGACACGCGGATGCGCGGCGCGGACGCAGCTACCTGACGTTCATAAATCCACTCATGATAGCTTAAGTTTCGCAAGTTCTCTCTCTCTCTCTCTCTCTCCCGCACGCATGGCCGCCCCCGAAGGAGAGGGCGCCCCTAGGGGCGCGCGATGTCCAAGGTCTCGTGATCCCCATCTTGTTGACGGGGCAAGTTCTCTCTCTCTCTCTCTCTCTCTTTCTTGCACGTATGCCATGAAGAAGCCTCTTGCATGAATTTACATACTCCTAAAACCTGTCCACAACATAACTTCTGGCGCCCTGGGGCGGCATCCCTCTGCTCCAACAAGCGAGCGCAGCAGGAGTGCAAATTGGAATTCCACGTGCTGCCCGTAAAACTTATTACGCCAACGTGCCGCCGAGTACTACGCAGTGTACCACGTCGTAAAATTCCTTCCTTGATTGCATATGGATGTCTGAATGCATTGGGAGAACGGGAGACACACCTGGGCACCTTCAAGACATCGCAGTCTCTTGTCCGTGATGTTCTTGTCAATTTATCTCTAAGTCAAGTGGGTCAGGTGTGTGCGCTCGTTCGTGTCTTTTTTGATGCTTTCTTTTCCTGCAGCACTTATTTGCACATTTCGAAGCTATGCATTGACACCGTGTTGCCTGTGTCCTCAGCAATGCCAAAAAGTTGCAAGTTTGATCAACAGTCTGAATGCACATGAATAGCTTATGCAATGGGCAAAGGGAGACGCTCCTGCGTCCTCAACAAGGCCAGAACACGACCTGTCCGGCTTTGGACATGGCTGGTGTTCAAGATGTATGCAACAGCTTCCAACAGCTTGTGCGACAGAAAGAAAGCTCGTGCAAGAGTGCAAGTGGCCTGGGGACTCGGGCGTCCCCCGGTGATCACAGGACATCTGCCAAAATCGGCGGAGGTATCCCCGAACGCATGCTGGGTACATTCGCTTGTATGGGAATCCCGGGCGGAAAATGAGTGAGCCGTAGCCGAAGACCGTTCGCGCTTTGGCAAACTCATCCGAGCTAATATTCTCGTCTACGTGAGCACGTTCCCAGCAGTCAAAGGCAACCTCCTCACACTGTTCTGGCTCGATCAGCGCAGGCTGTTGCATGCGCGGCACAGAAAAGGCAATTGGCGTACTCTGGAAACGCACCACGAGAATTGCAGTGACAGCAAGTGAAGTATGCACGAGCTGACGCTGGTGAGTAAGCAGCCGTCTGCCAGCAATCATCCGCATTGCATGATTATCTGTGAGGCTCCAATGTCCATCTGCAGTTCAAAGAAGGGATGCATGTAATACATCTGTGTATTCGGCCCTGTTCTAGTTGCTCGAAGTTCAAGTGCCATTTCAAGACCTAAGACCCAAACAGGCTTCTTGGCTACGGGAACTCCTTGGATGTCGAGAAATCGCTGTGGTATGTTGATGCAGGTTATGGTGCATCGGTGGCGGGCAGCCTGAGCCAAGTGTCAGGCCGGTTTCCGCTCCGAATCTCGTGACCCTGTACAGTTACTACCAGTGACGCGCTACGATCGACAACCTGCAGTTCGGGTTCTCCTCTGCCATCATCTACATGCTGTCACGCGATGCAAATGAAGATGACGAAGCACCCGTATGTTGCCGCTATCATCAACTGAAAAGCGCCTGTTGTCATTGATCCAGGAGCCATTGCCCCCAAGCTGCTGCACGAAGAAGCCATCCACATCCCAAGAGATTTGCAAATGCCTTGGTGGCATCTCTGTCCGTTTGCACGATGACTAAGAGAAACGTTGAAAGCATTGAGGAGCGTGGTATGTGCTGTGGATTTGCAAGTGCGCCGGAACGCTAAAACTAGCGATTTGCTGGACATGTTCTGCACAGCTCAGCTCCATGCTGCCGCGAGCAGCCTGGGAGACAAAAGTTGCCACTCGAAAGCCATCTGCACAAAGTGTCATGGCCAGCAAGTTGCAGGCTCCATATGTCTGACCGTATGTTTGTGAATGCTTATGCGTGTTTGGCCCTGCTTGGCTGCATCAAAGTGACGATCGTCGGCAACCTGGTGATGGGAATATAGTCGAATCAGAGGTATTTCGACTACATCTCGACTTACACCACGATGAGGGCTCATGATGCCTTCAGTGAAGATTCATGGGCAATGGACTCGAGAAATTGACGGTTGGTCACCTGGCCTTGATGTCACACTGGGAGCCTTTTCCGCGGCCAATGACAACCTTCTGTGAACCTTGGCATAGTGACTATTGACCATTTGTATTGTGACTACACTGTGACTACACGTGATTCCACGTATCTTTAAGGACTTCGAGGTGAAAAAACATTTGTGGAGCAACATCGAACAATGCAGGGTGCAGGCTGCTCTACGAAGGCCAGACGTTTCGACTTCAGATCTTCGATCCTCTACACTCTACAGCACTCACACAGAGCGCAAGGATGGCAACGATGACAAACAGCAATGATGAACGATGGGCCGGCTGCCCTGACGCAGTTCATATGGCGCAGGTGGCTCAGACCTCGATGTGGTGTCAATCGAAATGACCGGGTACAGAGAGATGATCAAATACGCTGGGCATCAACCTAGCTCATGGTGTAAAGTCAAACGTCATCCACCGTGCCGAGGTCTTGGCTCATCATATTTGTAGCTGTAGACCACAGGGATCAGGGTGGCGACGTGGTCCGGATCCTGAGCAGCATAGCAGGTGCAAACTCGTTGTGATGTGCAAACCTTTCCGAATCACCTTATCTGGCTCCTGTGGCGGAGCAGCATTGGCAGGCTGCGTGGGCTGCGTCTCAGGATCTCCAGCCATGGAGCCTGTCCATGCCTCTTGACGGTCGCATCTTTGTGTGTGACATTGATTTGGTGTTTCCTCATGTACCCACTGCAGCTTCCGATGGCGATCTGCGTGTGACCGGTACATTGCTATTAAGAGATGGAAGACCTGATTGTTTCCCGTTTCTGGCCTTGTTGTAATTTTTCACACCTAGGTACTATCAGCCGAACGGATGTACTTGAGACGTCCTTGAGCCAATGAGGCCCTGGCGCACTGCTGTGGGATACACGGAACGGCACAATGGCCTCACTGTTTGCGCTCGGCTCCATATATGGATATATTGTATATATTATTAGATACAAGCTTAACTTTTTAACGAGTACTTTTATTATGCAGGAATAATATAATAAGTGGACTTGAGAATGACTTGAATATGACAGCATGAGTGGAAAAGAACCTTCACTTTGCGTTGACTTGTCCGGGCATTTGCGTGGTGGACAGCCGCTCAGCTGGGCTATGGCTATGAGATGTCTCACACACAACACGAAAAGCTGCTTGCATGCAGTCTTTGGTCCATTTCTAGCGCGGCTGGGCTCGCTGAGAATGGCACATCTTCGATGGTGCCATGAGATGCTCGAAAGGGCAGGAGCATGGACAGCCAGGATGTTCAATGTTTCTCCCTTCGCGGCCAAGCATCCGCAGGGGAACTTTGACAAGGACATTCTTTCAAGTAAAACGGAGCTTGCTACCCATCTGACTCAACCGATAAATGCGGGACCATCCAACGGCACTGTCGAATTGTCCCAAGTTGTCCATCCCTCCATCAAGCAGTCCCTGCCTTCCAAGATCTTCCTAGCCTACGTGCACTAAATAAGCTGCTCTGCAGCATAATACAGATCCAAATGTCCATGAGTTAGATATGCTGTGTGTCATGTGAGCTTGTCCAAATCCCTTTCAAATCCTTTCAATATATCTTGCAAGAACCGCCAGCTTACTAGCATAAACAGCAGGAATCTTGGCAACTTTTTTCATCAACGTCTAGTAACGCTCCAAGGCACTTTACTTCCATGCAGGTCAGGTTCACATCAACAGATACATCTCATGTAATCTCTGCAGCTGCAGTGGCAAAGACCACAACAACTGGTCACTGAAATGCAGTCTATTTACACCTTTAAACACGCGCTCGGGCAGGAAGCTGCGCCCGAGTGATGAGAACCTGCGCCGGCCTCCAGGTCGGCCGCAACCGCAATGGTGAGCAGGACTTGTAGGACGGACTGCCCACACGTGGGCAGATGCTGCAGCGCACAGGGGTTTTGGCGGCATTTGTGGTGCAGGCCTTCAGGATTGGCCCGGGCCGGATTTTGCTGGCCCAGGTGCCCTCGACCTGCCCTCCAGCAACGACTGCCGCTGGGGCTGTGGCACTCGCTGTGCTCGCAGCTGTGCTTGCTAGCTCCTCTGCTCGCAGTGTCTGTGGATGGGTGGCACCCAGTGCTGCCCGAAGACCGGCGACCACCCGCCGGTGCAGCGGATCTGCTTCCTGTGTCCGGCCCTGAGCATCCAAGCAACAGGCAAGGTTGCTGAGTGTTCCCAGAGTGCACGGATCGCAGGCGGAATACCACAGCGTGTAGGTCTCCGCAGCTCTACGGTGGTACTTCTCTGCTTCGGCATGTAGCCCACGCTTGCTGAGGCAAACCTTTGTACGTCTCCATGCCATGCTTGTTGTGCTTGCACAGTGCAAGATGCATGGAACGTCATGGAACAATCAGAACAAATGTCAACTAATGTCAACTTAACATTACTTGTTGGCCCTTGTTGGCTATTCCCCGGTTTGGCCCAATGCGTGGGGGCGTCAGAGATTCCCATACGGAAGCCAGTTCCTCGGTCTAACCTACCACGGCACTCAAACGTGTTTTGGGGACCCCTAACGGGCTTCTGCGGGACCTTAGACCGTCTACATTTAAAGCCCTGGGTTGAGATCAAAGCCTCTGCGACCATTGCGTCTCTCGGCTTGCATCCCGAGAACCGGGGCCGAGGCCGTCAGACGCGTGGCGTTTGCAATAGCATTGGTACATCACTATACCATATGATAGCATTATCACGTTGTTATCACTATATTGGTCTGCCACTTATTCGGTGTTTCTTTCATCAGTATTGCAGCTTTTCTCCTGTATGTTACATGGCATATTGTGGTTCAAATGCGGCACAAAGAAAGCTTGTGCGGTGGCGCCCAGACGTGAGATGTGCCCAGTGACGCCAAGGTTGCACTCCGCATCGGCCATCTCCAGGCGCCTCTCGCCCTGCTGCGTCGCCAAAATCCGATGGTAGAGCTCCTCTCGCATAGACTCATTGACATCTCATAGACTCTCCCTTTGTCTCAGAATCTCTCCAACATTTTTCGGCTCTCTTGGGAAGTTCTTGGAAGCTTACAGGCTTGTAACTTGTAACCATTGGCACGCCCAAACTAAAGTGCTCTGGTCCAGAAGCACGACCGCTTAAGAGCAGACTACCTGAGCTCAAGTGCTACGGCTACATGATACCAAATGAGGCCTGGAACCCGCGACTAGTGGCAATTCGGGTCAGAGCTACTGATCGCATCCCAAAAGCGCAATTGTTATCTCGTTGGATGGCTTTCGCCGCTTTTGCAGGGCAATGGGCCGCGGACGCATGCCGCACACAAAATATTAGTCATACATTGTCATTCAATGGGCCGAGCCATGTCTCCAGGGGAACCTCTAGGGCCCCCGTAAAGCGGAAGCTTTGGGCGAAGAAGCTCCCATATCAACACCGGCCTGTTCTGGCATGCGACCGGATAAGTGCAGTGCACTGTGGAGAGCAGGAATCGGGGCGAGGTTGGCGTCTCAATACGGAAAAATCGCCTCTTAGGTCGGCTTGATGATGAACAAGCTGAGATCACGAGTTCCAGCCTAACTCTACCTTAATGATGCAACGCACAATATAAGCTTTAAAAACCTGTTCCTATGTTGCTAAGTTCTGATTCCAGGCAGAGCCGAACAGGCTGGTGATGACATGTGAGCAGCGGATATGCGGCCTCTGCACCGGCGATGTCACCACCCTCACGGCGGAGCTTTGCTAAGTCCTGCAACTGAATCAGCAACTGAATCAGCTGGCAACTCATGGGTGCAACAACAAGGTGCACAATGGTGCAAAGGATGCAACAAGACAGTGTGTGCCAGCACGCCCGGTCCGAGCAGCAGGCAATCCACCCAGGCCGGGCTTCTGCGTCCTGCATGTCCTGTCAAATTTTGACATCAGCCAAGCCATTAGAGCTGTGCGCACGTCCACATCCACTTGCCGGTCCTTGCAGGGGGTGGATTCCATCTCCTTTGACAAGATCATGCGTTATTCTCTTCTGCTGTGGAGCCGGGATGACCGGGGAACCCTTTCTTGGAGACTGTCCTCCAGCTTCTTCGCCAGTAGCTCTGCAGCCTCCTTTCGAAATGGCACTCGAAGCATTCGCGTCAACTTGCGCTGTATCTATACTCGAGCAAGCATGGAAACATTAAAACAGCTAAGAACAAGCCGACCTCTGCCGACACTACCTTCGAATAGCTTTATGCCAAGTAGAGGAAAGCATCCCAGGGGCCTTTGTTCGACCGACAGAGGCCAGAAATTCAGCCAGGGACCGTGAGGACTCCAGCGTGTCTGGGTGCCTCGGTGTCTGGTGCTTCAGGGACTTTAGCGTTGTCGTGTCACAATCCTACGTGGATCAACTAAGACAAAGATTTACAGGTGCAACCGAACGATGGCGAATGCCCCATGCACCGGGTCGCGTGGAGCCCAGGCTTGTGGTCCGAAGCGCAGTGACCGCCCTGACATGTCACTATCAAGGGCGTCCATGGAGGCACAGGAGCAAGCTCTCTCACTTTGGGGTCTCAAGCTGGAGTCGCTTCTAGTTCGAGCCTCAGCTCTTCCTCGGCTTCGTTTGTGCGGCGAGGCACTGATGCCAGGAACACCTTGAGATCAATGATTATAGCTGATGAGCGTCCATGGGCCCCTGGATTTCACTGCCAGCAGTTGCCGGTACTGTGAGTTACTGTGACATGGTGTGCAGTATACATTTTGGTGACTAGTTGATGGCGCATTCAATTACACCTTGACTTGGACCTGGGACTGGCAGGGTGCTGGGCCAAACCGCGCAAAATCGCTCAACTGCCTTGATGTTTGGAGACAAGGCGCTGCCAGGTTGTGCTTGGCCAGGAGCGCTTGCTCGTGAGAAGGGCCTTGGTGGAAACAAAGGAGCAGCATCAGCAATTGGTCAAAGGCCCCTGCGATGAACTCACTACTTTATCTGCTAAGCAACAACGCACCAAATCACCCTACAAGTAGGAATCCTACAGTTCTGTATGTCGTCAGGTGTTTTCTGGTCTCCTTCAGAGAATCATTGAGGTAACTTCTTCCGTGGAGGGTGCTATCTGAGGCTCTTGCAGGCAAGCCCGAGAATGAAATTGGATGAAATTGGGCCAAATTGGGTGCAAGATGCCCAGAGACTGAACGCGGGAAGTGAGGACACGCCGGAAGAGACTCTCAGCTTCCACCTGAGAGGAGACAGCAATCATTGATATTGCAAGTTACAACCCCTTTTTGCAAACACGGAAAAAACACAGTCCATCCGATTCCTTTGGAGCTTAAGTTTTGAGGGCTTGTTGCATGCAGAGTTGCACCCACGCAACTACTAAGCCCTGTAAATTGTGAACAAACGTGTCCGAACCGATGTTCTCATGTCTTCTCATGATCATGACTTCTCATGTTTTTCTCCGGCTTCCGCCAAGGTGCCAGGCGCCCTCGCGCCTCCAAGTGAACGGCCAGATACTCCATGGCCTTTTTGTAGATATCGGCGGGTGATCAGTGCGTCAGTGAAGTTCAGCCAACGCAAAGAAGATGCAACTAACGATGCACATCGACATACATTAAACCATCATCAAATTTCAAGCATGTATATATATATATACATACATGCGTCATATGTTTATACTAATTAGTATATACATGTAGCAGTGCATCGTCTGCGTACCGTCTGCGTGCCTTGAGAGTGGACGGGGCAGCGTGGCCGAAGTGGTCGGTGCAGCGCTCGCAGGCCCCCCGGAGCTCGGCCTTGCAAATCTTCTTTCAGGGCAGCATTGCAGAGTAATTATTGCAGAGTACTGCAGAGCATTGCGTAGTATTGCTCTGCAAAGTTTTGTGATCGGGACGTCGTCCTTGCCTAAACATGTCACCAGCCTCGGCAGCGGCTGCATCACCACCGCGGCCGGCCAGGAAGGCCGCGAGCGTGTTGAGAGCATGCCTTTAATTCTGGTGGCTCGATAGGGGAGGTGCGCGCAACAACTCTTGCTTCTCAAGACGCTCGGAGCGCAGCACCAACTCAGAGCCACGCCCGCGTCCCTAAACCGTAGTGCCCACTCCTATCGCTTTTCACCGCCACGCTTTACACCTTCAATCCCTGGCACTTGTACAACGGCACCCGAGGTGCCTCGAATGGTCTGCCAGAGTGTTAGGTCGTCAGGATGTTGTATGATTTTTTCGCATGGGGTTTTACTCTTGGCCCTGCCCATGTCTGCTGCCGTGATCTCTCCTGATCTTCTTCTTTGTTCTTTTACGGGACCTTGAGTTCAAGGAGAAACACAAGCTCATGCCCGATGTCTTTGCTACAAGTACTGTTGCATGAAACTTGCGATGTCATGCTTCGTGATGGCACGCGATGGCAAATCTCCCACATCATTGGCCATCGCAATCGCGTTCACTGCAACTGATCACAAAGATCACAAAGGTGCATCATGCTACATCTGCCAGTGCTCCCAGGGCACAGGGTCGCCAGGTCCCCATCACCCAGCGCTTTCCGATGCCTGCACAACGCCCCACAGAAGTAAGCGTGGCAAAACTTTATACCAGTAGTGCTCAGATGTGGTTCTTCAGAGGTTGTTCAAGGTTATTCAGCACCAAGTCACCTGCCTCGAAAATTCCTTCCAACCGAGTCGCCCCAAGTTTTTAGAGCCTAGGCACTCAGACTTGCTCCGCACGACTTGCCCTAGGCATCCCTGCGCCCGATGCCTGCGAGCTGAGACCCGCAGTGCTTCTGCAGCTGCGCCAGGTGCTGCAGCGCCACAGACCGCAGCAGCCGCCAGGACGTCGGCCAGCTTCCTTTTGGGATCCGGAATTTAGACCCGCGAATCCAGAATAATCCGTAATCCAGATCGGGCAGCCCATGTGAGCTGGGCGTTGAAAGACATTGGAAAATTGTTTGTGTGTGTGTGTGTGTGTGTGTGTGTGTGTGTGGGTGGTGGGTGGTGTGTGGTGGGTGGTGGGTGGTGGGTGGTGTGTGGTGGGTGGTGGGTGGTGGGTGGTGGGTGGTGTGGTGGGTGGTGGGTGGTGGGTGTTGTGTGTTGTGTGTTGTGTGTTGTGTGTTGTGTGTTGTGTGTTGTGTGTTGTGTGTTGTGTGTTGTGTGTTGTGTGTTGTGTGTTGTGTGTTGTGTGTTGTGTGTTGTGTGTTGTGTGTTGTGTGTTGTGTGTTGTGTGTTGTGTGTTGTGTGTTGTGTGGTGTGTGTTGTGTGGTGTGTGGTGTGTGTTGTGTGGTGTGTGTGTGTGTGTGTGTGTGTGTGTGTGTGTGTGTGTGTGTTGTGTGTTGTGTGTTGTGTGTTGTGTGTTGTGTGTTGTGTGTTGTGTGTTGTGTGTTGTGTGTTGTGTGTTGTGTGTTGTGTGTTGTGTGTTGTGTGTTGTGTGTTGTGTGTTGTGTGTTGTGTGTGTGTGTGTTGTGTGTTGTGTGTTGTGTGTTGTGTGTTGTGTGTTGTGTGGTGTGTGTGTGTGTGTGTTGTGTGTTGTGTGTTGTGTGTTGTGTGTTGTGTGTTGTGTGTTGTGTGTTGTGTGTTGTGTGTGTGTGTGTGTGGTGTGTGCTGTGTGTGTGTGTGTGTGTGTGTGGTGTGTGGTGTGTGGTGTGTGGTGTGTGGTGTGTGGTGTGTGGTGTGTGTGTGTGTGTGTGTGTGTGTGGTGTGGGTGGGTGGGTGGGTGTGGGTGTGGGTGTGTGTGTGTGTGTGTGTGTGTGCGCGTCTGCGTGTGTGCGTGTGCGTGTGTGCAACCATATGACACGAATCCAGCGAAGAACGCCTTGCTGTCTTGGTGCGGACAGTTCTGAGGCCAGAAAAGCCATTTACCACATATGAGAAGCCGCTTTGCTGCCGCTTCTCTTTCGAGCGGAGACGTCCCCAAAAACAGACCCCGGGCAGTGACATGCCTTGCTGCAGCCAAGAATCGCAAAGGCTGCCAAGGATGCAGGGTCCTCGTCACCGAAAGCCTGTCCGAGCCGCAAAATCCAACAGCATTCAACAGAATTCAACAGCTCTTCTTCTGAAACCGAGGGTGACATGTCATGCCAATGAATGCCACGCCATGCCACGCCTCGCGAGTCCACTCCAGAAGCTGCCGCCGAAGCCTCGCATGTCTCGAAAGCAAAGTGTGTGACTGCGACTGCGGCATGTGCAGACACTGGCAGACACGTAGAATGTTTTGACAAGCTCTTGAAGCTGTGATAGGCCAATGTGAGGCATTTCGGGCCAGCCTTACACACCCCTGGGCCGAGTGCTACAGTGCTGCTACAGCTCGCTGTTCAGTGGCGCACTATTCATGACTCCCGATGGCCTGAAAGCAGCTCCAAGGTCAGCTCGTGCCTCCAACAAACTTAAGGAGGGGCCACCTCATTACGCAGATAGATTTCGAATACTCCTAGTGGTAGCTGGAAACTGTCATTCTCCTCATTTTCAAGAAGACCTCTGGGCTATAAATCAGTATAGCTCATGCATTACAGGTGCATGCTGCTTTAAATGGTGCCGCTTGAACTGCTGTCAAACATTCTAAAACCAGGATAAGCCCGGCAAAAATCAAGCCAAACCTAAGAAACTCCCACCAAAGCCTAACACAAAAATGAACCTTAGCTTTTCCTGGATGCTGTGTGGATAGACTGTTCATGTGAAGGTGTATGTTGCAGCACTGAATTTCAGGGCTGAGCACCATAATACTACCATAATCTCGAACTCGCAAAATGGCAATGTATGCAGTGCACCCATCCAACTTACAAGAATCCCAGCCTGTCCCATCGCAATTCCTAGTCTTGCGAACGTCCTACAGCAACACAAGGCTATCCTCTACGAAAATCCCAACCCTAATCCTACAAGAACCCCAACAAATCCCACGAATACCCCAACCAATCCTACGAAAAATCCTACGCAAATCCCAACAAGTGCTAAACAAACCCCAACAAATCCTAAAAAACTCCCAGCATTTTCTGGGCGTCCCATGCAGCCCCACAAGAGTCCCATGGTATTCACTGTTCGGGAGAACCCTCTGGCATGTTTCGCCTTGTTTGGGGAAGGGATGCCGCCCTTGTTTTCCAGGACGGCAAAGAAAGCGTTCAGGAACATCGACAGCATCGACAGAATAAGACTTCGTAGCATGATACCCTGGACCTACAAGTCAACATCCCGATCCTGGAGTTGAAAACCGTATAGGTTTATCCCATGGAGCATTGCAGAAACATTCAGGTTTCGCGGTTTGAGAGCATGAGATAAACAGGGATGAAGAAGCATTGTTTAAAGCAGCATGCACCTGGAAAACAAGAATAGCATTATGTCAGTTCTGTCCCAACCCCATCGCCCCATGCTTCATAATGGTTCATGCATATGTCGTGGGCCCGTACTCGGGAACTCGTTGCGAACCGTATGTCGCAAAAAGGATGTCCTTGGCCCGGCTACATACCCCGGACCCCAGAATTGCAGCCATGTGTGGTGAATTAATGCGGCTACGGCCCACTTTTCTGCCTCGAGTAACTCGGCCAGCTGTTCGGCACAGTCTAAGGCTCCCGGGTGGCTGTGGCCAAAGGCCTTCACAAGTGGACTGTTTGCAAAATGCATGTGCATGTATGTGCGCAAATTGGGGGGAATGTGCTGCCATAAAGTCGTGCCATGTCGTGCCATGCCATGTCGTGCCGGTGGGGGCCTTCTGGCAGCCCTGCAGCGTCTCCCGCAGAAGGGGCTCGGCCTCCCTCACAGCACCCAGCGCGCGCATGCAGACGGCCAAGTTGAAGCCTCTTTTTTCGAAACTTCCGCGAATCAAAGGGGAAACTCGTCACACTTGTCACACAGCGTTACCCAACTGTATCCCAACTGTTGTTGTCAAGTTTGCTTGGAGAGCCTGAGTCCAACGTGTGAGGGTGATCCAAACCAAGGCATCGTCGACGGCCATCCAACGCCCGCCGGTAAAGCTTCACCGATGCAGCCTTGTCACCCAGGTTCTCCTCTGCAGAGAAAGACTCGCAGATTTGATGAGGTGGCACAATGTGGCACACGGCAATAACCGATGAGTTCGTGCTGTTGAGACATGCTGAGACTGGTTGTAATATTCTAAGGTGCTGGCAGTGCACCATGGTTACTTCTCCTCTTCCGCCCGTGCGTCCCTTGACCGAGTATGCACCGTGCGCTACAGTACTTGTCTGCAGTTTGCCCAGAAAGCTCCAGCGTCACAGCCAGCGCGTGCACTGCAGCCAACAGCTCAGGAGCATCAGCCGGGAGATGGCGCTCAAAGCCGCGTAGGCTGAGCTGAAGTAGACTCCCTGAAGTGCAAGGTGGTGCAAGTGAATAACTTCTCTCTCATGATTCTCATGGCAAGTTTCAAGGGCAAAGATGGGCAAAAGAGCCTCGGGTGGGCAAGATTGGGCAAGGATTACTTACAGGCCGGGGAACGGTGGAGCTCGTCATCCTGATGGCCGAGTTCTTCCAGTTGCTGCACGATCCTGCATCCGAAATGGCTCTGATGGGCAGCACGGCAGCACGGGGTCAAACTGAATGATATGCCAAATTACAAGACCAGACAATCTTGCAGTCCTTCGGCTTTTCACATTTCTTGCCAGCACGACACGAATTTGCGTGGAGGAAAAGCCCCGTCGCTATTTTGCCAGTAAAGCATCGTTGTGTGTTCCAGCTACAAGCACTTATCGAACAGCAGTTGCTCCATTCTCAAATCACCACCCAATCTTATAGGTCAAAATATTCCATATCGTAGGCCAATACCCGGTACAACCCCTTATCCGCCGACCCGTTCGGGAGTGAAGGCTTTGGCCTCCGTCTCCGGTACGGCAGTGCAACCTTCCTACAGTTCTAACCCTCCACACTCTTTCTTCCTTCTCCGCCCTCCTCATCTCCTTTCGCCAATCTCCCCTCTTCTCCTGCTCTCCCGACTCAATCAGTGCCTAACTTTCCTGCTCTTTGCACTCTTCGCTCTCGCCCTCTTGCAAGTATGGAAGACACCGCCCCGGGCTGTGCTCGCTCTCCCCAGGCTTTAGCTACTCAGGCCCTCTGTCCTCCACGCTCCCGAGCCTGAGATTTTTCTCATAAGCGTTTTAGAATGCTCTTGAATGGGAGCGGTGAGCGTGAGGAGCGGGTCGGGCCTGGGGCATCATGGGCCCTTTCTCGTAGGTGGAGTCATCGGGGGCATGGCCGGATGTGGGCAACAGCCCCGATAGATTCATATATGGTTGATATTGAAGGGCGCGGCGAACTTATTTCGAAAACCATGAGGCGTTTTATCCTCTGCGATGCATCTGAGGTGTACAACATTGTGCAACTGGACATAACTGGACTAGCTTGGACTGTCCAGAGCACAGGATCCTGCCGGCTCTCCGAGCGTCATCCAGGGTCAAAGGTGGATTTCCGCCCGCGGCCTTCCAAGATTTTCCATCTCAGGTCGCAAGGGATGGTGAACGCATCGTAGTGAATGTGCAGTAGAGATCCATACGAATAGGGAGCCTCCAGGTCCCTGCCCGCAAGCAGCAGCCGGCCCTCTTCGAGGCAGGCGCGAAGGGGGCTTTCGGCTGGCAGCGTAGGTTCCTCAAGGTGCACTCCGTACTGTACGGGGCCGTATGAGTGGCATATTATCATATGCAAGGGCACACTGTGGCTCGATGAGGCTGTTATGATCTGTTACGTAGTGCCTCGGCAGGCGTGGCTCCTTTTGCGTCAGCGTCCACTGCCAACCTGTCCAGATCGGGGTGCTGCGCAGGGCTGCAGTGCTGGGAAGTGCAGTGCTGCTGCGCCACTCTGGATCTAAGACTGCTCGTCTTAGGGCATCCTACCGCAGATGCCAGTACCTTCTCTGCTCTTCACCCTCTCCAAGCTTCAGCTGCTGTGGGCTGCAGGCGCGCATCTCCGAACTCTTCTCCTGCAAAACAGCTTGAAGTGGTATGTGTAGTATTATGTGGTATTTGAACTGTGCTGGAGAAGTCATGGATCAAACCTCTCGAAACATCTGGCTCTGCGCTGCATGGCCTCTTCCATGGACTGCTGGCAAGCCTTGGCCTCCCGGTCACTCTGGAGACAGGACACATCGTGGGTAAGGGCATCGTGATGCATCGTGGCATGAAGTCTCATTAATACATGCAGAAACCGTGCCAAAGCAGTCTGAAGGGCTCTCTGCATCTGAGCCGTTGCGGCCGCAGCCAATCGCAATTCCTTCTCGAGTTGCTGCCTGTTGCGGGCCAGATGTGTGGAATATTGTGCAATAGTTAATTGTTGCAGCATCACGCAACAGTGCGGCAGCATGGGCACAGTCAGGATCGGCTGGCCTGGTTGCTTGGACTCCGGCCCGCACCTGGCATGAACTACTCAGAACTGCTCGACTACTCTTGCTCAATCGACTAACCAGCAGAATGTAATAGAATATAGCAATATATAGCACATACAGCTTAGTGTACCTCACGTTGACAAGTCGTGTTTACCTTCTCGAGGCGGCTCTGAAGTTCGGCCCCAGCACGCAGCTCGGCGGAAAGCTGCTGCCTCAAGTGGACATGTCGTAATGTCGTTTCATGTCGTTTCATATCAATTCAGAGAAGGATCAGCTTCACTTCGAACACTGCTGATTCTGCGTTGCTCCACCAAGCTCAGAACATGGACAGCATATGATAGCACATGATCACGTATGATGAGATATAGAAGCGTCTACGACAAGCAGACCAGGCATCTGATGGTCTCCTTCCCCCAACCAGAAACTTTCGGCCCCCCCCCCCGCCCGCCGCCGCGCCCGATTCCGTGGAGGTTCCAGGCTGCGGGCTTCTCTGCCGAAGCGGCCCGCGCAAGCGTTGACAATTGGATTTTTGAGTGCCACATGATGCAGCCTTTGGCTGTCCGGTCACAGCCGAGACACCTGATCGTGGCATTGCGTTCGCGCGCCTCTGCAAGGGCCGCCTCGCGAAACGGAAATCTGCGATTTAGCAAAGAATTAGCTGAATCGCTGCAGCTGCAAGGAAATGCGAGAGAGTTGTCTTTGGCTTGTGTGTTGGCAGCTGCAATGCGTAGCTGGTCGCAGCACGAGCAAACGAGCCTCAGTGGCTTCCAGGTCTGTCAGCTCCTGGGTGCTGAGGCCCATTTTCGACACAATTGATACAAAAAACCTTCAGAACTTTATGACCAAATATACCAAACACCAGCCACAACCAGTCCAAACCCTTCACGCCTGGAGGAGTTTCGCCTTGGAAGCCGACACATCCGCCTCCAAGACAGCTCTGGGCTCGCATAACATAATACGAGGAATGTCTTGCAGTTGTGCGTAGTTGCGCCTTGCCTGGTTTGAGTCTTCGATATCTTGCATCTCTGGCACAGGCATGGCTGGAGTTGGGCTTCGATGACCCTCTTGTGCCGATGGTATTTACACCGTTTTTTATGCAGACATTTTCAGACATACTCAGACTCCGCAAACAATTGCTATGATGTTGCCATGCATGTAGAGAATTGGAGTATTAGAAGTTGTTGTTTGTCGCGTGTGTTCATGTGTGTTCTCTGCAATCTCCAACTAAAAGCTGAGTGGCGGCAACGAACACACTAGAGGTTTTGCTATGTTTTGCTGCCCAAGCTCTGCAAGCAACCTTGTGCTGTATCTATACCTGCCAGAGGCAAAGTCACGAGCTACGGCAACTGGTACCGTAAAGCAGAGAGCGTAGAATGGTCCACGGATCAGATCCGGCCAGTGCACTTCGACTGCGACTGGCAGATTTTCAGCGGCTCTGTCGTCACGCGCTTGACATTCGCGCGCTCAGGAAAGACAGGCGATTGGTGCGGACCGTGCCAATGCCTGATCAACTGCCCAGCTGAGATTTTGGCAGCTGCAGATGTCTGAGCATCTACACTGATCTACACATTGCTTACAATCAGACATGCTGACGAACTATCGAAAACTCAACGACGATGTCCATGGTCAGATCGAAACTGCAGCACCACCATCCCTCCTGTTACTTCAGCGTACTGTATAGATAAAAACAACCCATCAAAGCCCCGAAGCCCCAAGCTCGGAACCCTGAGACACCGGGGGCACCAGGATTCACTAAGTGAGCGAGCCTGCACTTCAAGGAACTACCACAGCAAACCACAGCTAACGGGTGATTGGCCTGACGCTGACTTTGGCCTGCGAGGCAGGGGCACTGCGGAGGCCACGGCTGTGCAACGGCTGGAACCCGGGAGGGCTCGGCAGCCCGGCATCAGTTCTAAGGCCTAAGGTGTCGAATGCGGCACCGCCGCAGCCAAAAGCGTGCGGCAACATTTCAATAGCATCTGTTCTTTTGTGTGCGCTCGCTCGCTTTGCGAAGGGCGATGCAGGTCGGTCACGATTCCAGCCGCTTGACTGCCCAATGTCTTTGACATTTGAGATCAGTCGAGCAATCTGAGAGCACACCAACAGGCGTCTTGGAGCGTGTCCTCTTGATCATCACATCAGAGGTCTTGACCGTGACACTGCGTGGAGTTAAGGTTTCTTGTAGCTTCGTCGCCGCCACCACTTTCCGAAGTACTCCTCGTGCAAGCACCATTGGCGGATTGTCCATCCAACTCAAGGGCTCTGATGTCCTCATTGGCTGCTATATGCTGATATGTTTCAGTTTCCGCATTGTGCCAGTTTATGTGCCTTGCCTAATAGTAATGAGTATAATGATGGTACGAGTACTGCAAACCGCTGGAGCCTGCTACTGTAGAGGACTGCCAAGCATCGGCGGTGATGTCTCCGAATGCTCTCCAGAGCAGGTTCTCCGAACTCTGCGTCGTTCTCCCATGCCCATACACTGCCCATGCGTCTCGCCGTAGAATTCCTCGATGCGACAACATGAAATACTGTGCTATAATACAAAGCCACAAAGCCAACTTCTGATTGCAGAAACTCTGCAAAGAATTGCAGCCAAAGGCTCCCGATAAGGTGGCAAAGGTTGCAAGTCTCAGCGCAATATGCGAGCGCCTTGCAGAGTGCTGCGCATCTGTGCTTCCGTTCTCCGAGCGACAGCGAGACTCACAAACTGCGAACGCTCATAGGGTCATTGAATGTCATTGATGATAGATATGATAGAGCCGATAGAAGAAAGCTGATGCACGTAACCGAGCCAGACATGTACAGACACTTCTCATGATCTCTCCGAACACGAACTGATCGAACTGCAACCGAACAGCTCCGAGACTCGAGCGGAAGTCCTTCAGTGCTCAATGTGCTCAAGACGTCTCTCAAAGAGATTCTTCACAGCGCTAACGACAGCAGCCCCCTTTTTTCAGATCCCGTGGTTTCTCGGAAAGGACTGGAAAAGAGGCTGGATGGTGGGTCGCGACACGGAAGAAAGATGTCTCAGCTTCAGCCACGGACGGTCCTAGCACTTTTGCACCGAAACAGCCAATCACATGAAGAGTGCGCGCACAACGATCTCGCAGAGAGGCTGGACCGAATGACTGCAAGACCTCAACATACCTGAACATACCTGAACGGATTCCTCTGCTCATGAAGGCCAAGCGGCCAGTTTAGCGGAGAGCAGAAGAGCTTTCTCGAAATCCTCAAGGATCAACCTCGATCCCCCTATAGGCAAATAGACCTTTCACGAGCGCCGATTCAAACTCTTCGGAAATCTTCGGAGTCAATAAGCACACAACTATTTAAAAAGACATCGCTGCCCAGTGAGTTACTCTCCAACTTCATACCAACCTAACCGATAGCTTGAGAACAAACTGCAAGATTGAAGAAATCTATCTCCTGCGAAGAAAGCATGCATTCACACTCCCAGCGCACGCGGACGTACAAACGTGATCTGAATCTAGTCGCGTGCAACACTTCCGACAGTGCACACACAACGTGCGCTGTGCTTTGTATGGTGCCCATGGCCTGATCTGGGAATTGGACGCAGAGCCCTGCAGCTTTGGCCTGATCGCAGTTGGAAATGCCTCCCACAACAGGAAATGTGTCAGCGTCTTTGCAGCCTCAGCGAGCTGTCAACAAACAAGCAAGCTTCTTCTTGTCGAGGTACACATGCACAGGCAAGTTAAAGCAATGTCGGGAAAAGATCTACAGTAAGAGATCGACCTGCGCAGCTCTGTGGACAGTATTCTGGCAGAGGATCTGCTCCGGCGCAGGCGCAGGACTCCTGCGCTGAGGCTTGGTCAACTCAGTCAGTGTGCATGCGCGGACAGAAAAACAACTACTCAATCGGGACCCCGACGGGGAAAGACTGATGCGAGAAGTCTACTACTCAACCACGGTCAGCCACGAGTCCGGGCAGAGCCACGCCAGGGGCCGGTAAACGTCAGCATGCCCTTCGCACCACGTCCGCCCTGCCCATGTCCCGCTTGGGGCGCGTTGCGTTCTGAGCTTGCGTCAGGTTGCAAGGAATCCTGCCTAAGCACAGTCTCTGTTGTTGCACTCTTGTTGCACTCTTGTTGAAATCTTGTTGCCCTCTTGTTGCACTCTTGTTGCACTCTTGCTATCTCCAGCTCTGGAGCCATGCGCCTGTGAAGGGATCAAGGGGAAAGTCCACTCCGCCGATGCCAGGGCATCCCACCTTCTTGACCTGCAGGTCGATGTGCGGTGCAGTAAAACCATGCAAAACCACTCCCACTCATACCACTATCTTTGCGCCCCACGATGCCACAAGCCTGAGATCCCCCTAAAACCTGAAGTTTTCAAATACTCCATATCACTCCTAAGATTTCATAGGCATCCTGCTGATGTTCCATTCTGGAAGGAGGTCTGCCTGCTGGACGGCACTTTCAAGCCAGGCGTACCCAGAGGCATTCACATCTTCGATATTGAAGACATAAAGCATGACGGCTGTGTACGTGTCCTTGGGCTACATGTGGCTTGTATAGTATAGTGGACTGTCGACTGTCCCATGCTGGCACTTGGCAACAGAAGGCGAACGAGGACAGCATGGTCGTTTACATAGTTTGCTTTAGCACTTCATCATCTACATACTTTCTTCAGGGTTTCTATGCTCGTGCTGCAGGGCCTCGTATAGGCTTTCAGTGTGGTCGTATTCTTGTCCAGGGTACGTGGTTCCAGTAATGCAGTCGTGACTCCCAAAAGAAGTCCCATTTCACCTGCATCTCAGACACGTCGTCATCCTGACAGGGTGTTGACCTCATTGCAGCCTGGGCTTCATTGGCGCCTCGGAGAAGCCATGGGAGAATGGGCACTGAATGGGCTGAGTCACAGATAGCTTGTGGTGAGTCTACTGAGCTTTGCATGATGCTGCGAAATCGAGGCATTGGCATTGCTAAGAATGCCGAGGTCTTCAAAAGAGTTTCCACGGCACTCACTGTCAGTTTGGAGATCTTTGGGGCTTTGGTCTACTCGATTCTTTTTTTCTTCAATTTTTGCTGTCGAGAGGCAGCCCGAGGGGCAGCCCTCGGATGCCACTCGAAGTAAAGGCTGGGCATCTCGTTCGTGACATCCACAGGTTCCTGAACTCTAGGATGACTCCCGACTAGACTCTGACTAGTTTGATCAGAGGTGAGGCTCGCTGGTCATGTGCCATCGCTGGACAGGAAATTCCTGCCCGACTTCGGCAAGACAGCCTGATCGGCCCGACTCGCCCACCAGCAACCAAGTTTGCATCTAAGCTAGCCCGGCATTGTTTCCTGTCTCGTCGAGAGAACCTGATTGCGCAATAGTGCAATCTGGTCTAATACGTGAATGCATCCAAATTTCTTCGGTAGCCGAACTTAAGGCTGGAGAGTCCACTTCAATTCAGGTGCACATGAACTATAGAAGCTCAGTGCTGACACTTTCTGATGCACAGCGTGCTGGTCATTAGGAACACGCTGTTGCTGTCATACGATGATTCGATCAGTGTTGCTGCGTGCCGCAAGAAAACAATTGTGCTGAACACACACACACACACGGTGGCTTCAAAGCAGTGGCTTGCACGATGACACATGACGTGGGCATGACCCGGAGGCGTAATCACTTTCCTTCCTGGATTCAAGGGTGAAGAAATATGTGGGAGACCCATGATCGAAAATGCCAAACAATGTCAGCTTAGGACGTTCTTTGCTTCCTCGGCGAAGGTCCTGAGGGCGATGAAGCCAAGAAGCTGGCCAGGGAGACCCGAATCCCACGTCAGGACTCGCGAAGAGCACCGGGCTCGGGCCTCCCTGGCCAGAAAGGGAATTCAGAGGGCACAGGTGAAAGAGGTTTGCCCGTGAAAGCACCAAACCCATCGAAACCCCAAACTCCAACAAGAAGGCGCTCCGCTCAGGGTTGGGGGGGGGGGGGGGCTAAGCGCCTGCTTTTGACGGACTGAATCTTTCTTCCGAAAGGCTGGTGTTCTATGAAGGAGTTCCTGTTCGGAGGGCATCCGACATGTCGCGTTCAAGATGAGCTACTATAACTATAAGGTGCGCAGATCCCCCTCTCACCTGTAGAGCCTGGAAGCCTCAAGCTGAAAAAGTGAGGAATCATCGTCACTGCCGAGAAAACTCTGAAAAATGAAAGAACCGGGGGGGGGGGGGGGGGTGGGAGGGGGGGGGGTAGTAGGGGGGGGTGGGGTAGCGGGGGGGGGGGGGGGGGGTAGTGGGGGGGGGGGGGCGGGGGGTAGGTAGCAGGGAGGATGACCTGGACAGAAACGGAGCTGAAGGAAGGCCCGACAGGACCTAAGTCTGAAGTACCACCACATTAGAGCCGAAGTAAGACCCTAGACATGCACAGTGTTGCCCATGGCATGGCATGTTTCTGCTATGTGCTTCTTGCGGCAACTTAAACTCATGGGGGGGGGATGAAAAAAGATGGAAAGGACAAAGCATCAAAAGCATTTGAGTCTTTTCTGCGACTTGCAGGATGCCAGTTGCACAGACAGACTTCGCCGGACGTTCCACCATTGACAACAATCAACGAATCAACCGTCCACAGCAAAGCGTGCCACGTTCTTTGCACTACCAAAGTGCAGCAAGCGATATAGTTTAACAAACCAAGAATCGCGGGCACACGAAACGCAGAACTCGTCCTGCAAATGTGTCGCAGAACGACGCCATGCCTGAGCAATTTGTATCTGCTGGCAAGCCCAATGTCAAGCTGGCACTGTAGAAATACGGCCGAAACATCTCGTGGCGGTCGTGCGTCAGATTTCCCAGGAACACGGTGTCCCAGTTGATACATTCCCCTTCTGACAATGCCTTTCCTTCCATGGTCTGTGCCAGCCGCTCATCGAAGTGCGCATTGTCTCGTGCAAATGCAATGTAAAGTGGGCTTGCGCCAATTGGCTTCTGAATCCACTGCTCAACAGCGAATTGCGCAGCGTTGGCAGCATCTTCACTTCTTTGGAATATGCGCGTCTGCAGCCCGACAGTGATGTTCTGGTTCGTGTTGGATGCAACAACAAAATCTTGTCTGCCACCGCAGTATGCCTGCTTAACCTGACCGCATGACCACTTGCAACAGTGGGTTGAAGAGTACTGTTCACGACATTTACAACTCCATGCCTGCATCATGCTCTCGGTCAAGGGCTTAACCACACTGAAGTAGGACCAGAGGGTGAGGCCAGCCATGAAAGCGAACAGAAGCAACGACTCAAGCTGGCTACGCCGGTGGGTGTATGTGACCTCCCGTCTGCCGCACTCTATCGCACTGATTGCTATGATGAAGACTAGTAACATAAAGAGCCTCTTGGTGCACTACAAGTCAGAATCCCAGGCTGACCTTGATGGCTTCAAGGTCCAGGATACTGGTCTGGACCTGCTTGGGCATGAGCGCAGCATAGAAGATCTCATCCACCTCATACCAGAAGAACTTAGGGCTTAGGGTGCATGAGACCATGCGGGTGCATGGTGAGCTGCTTAGACCAAGCTCGGACTTGCTTGTTCGACGTAAGTGCCCTCTAAGCATGTCTCTGTTGCGCAACTCGGCATGACGCAACAAAATCCGCAACGCCAACTATCACCTGGAGGACGGCCGACAGCGCGACAGCATTCAGGATTAAGTCCGTGATGGAGGTGGTGGCACCAAGCCTCAGTTGTTGATGCAATAGACAGCCGCAAGTCAGAGTTTCGCTTCAGAGGCCAAAGAGAGGCAGTTGGAAATTCCCCAACAATGATCTAATTTGCAGCTGGCGGCCACAAGACCCCTGCATAAAGGAGTCCCATTGCAATGCCAATGCGGTAGCACCGGAACAGGCAGTACACTAAGAACCTCAGATGCCGACTGCACTCGACTGCCTGTGTCGGAAGCATGTAGAGTGACGACAGTGACGACTGGTCTCAGTGATTCGACGGCACCATGCCCACCGCACAGGCTACCGGTACCTTCTTGCACGACATGTAATGTGGACTATCTGACCTGTCGCTGCTAAGAACAACGAAGACGATGAGAGACTCAGCACACCTCCAACATCGTGGTGTGACGTCATCATCGCGATCCTCATCGTCGTTGTTGTCTTCGTCCTCGCTGTCCTGGTCGTCATACTCCTTCCTTCCTCCTCTTCCGAATCTGTAAAACTTCATCGTCCTCTGCATCATCTCAATGGATCATGATCATTGCTGTCTCATTGTTATTGGCATCGTTCTCATCATCACCACCATCACCATCATCGTAGCCATTCCCGCCGGCCGTCGCCGCTGCATGCCGCTGCATTATGATCAACGTGTCATGCTCAAAGCCTGCAAGTTGTTGCATGTTATTGACACGGGAGACAGTCCAAGCCAAGGTGCCGAGATTGAGAGAGGCATAGGAGATGGCCCCGTTGCAACTTGCTCCGCCCAGATCGCGGCACCTCGTGCAAAGTGTCGTGCGGTATGTGTCGTGTTGTGGCTTCGTGCACTCTCCTGCCTGTGCCACGGCTTCCAAGGAAAGCAGGGAGGACCGGAGCTCGTTGCCTTTGCGTGCGTGCTATCGAAGGCATCACGTCTCCGAATTGTGGACTTCTCGGTGCCAGCCGGTACATCAAAATCCCTAAGCAACACTATGAAGCCGAGGTGCAGATGTAAAGGCACCAAAGGAAGATGCAAAGCATGCAGAGAAGTGTGCCAGGCTGAAAATATGACAACTCAAAGCCATCCTGTTGCAGGTCGAGGAAATCCTTCGCTCACCGCCAAAGTTTGTGTGTGCCGTATCACTACATATATATATATATATATACAGAGGCGCCAAACTAAACCCACCCACTTGTGAAGGCGGAGCAACATGACGCAAACCCTAGCCGCGTTGTTGGGGGGCATGGGTCACACCCGTTTCAGACACGACCTGCAAAGACTTGAGATCGGCGCTACGAAAGCTCGACAAACCCCGGACATCGAAGCAATGCATTGTCGACGGACAGCGAAGCAATGCATTGTCGAGGGATGAATGAGAAGCGCGGATGCGGTCAGTGCAGCCGAGCAATGGTGCTACTTTTCGAGGGCCACTTGTGTTTTGCGCTCTATGGCTCGATCTGAATCAGATCAGAGGGCAGCTCGTCGTGCCACAAGAACCAGGTCGAAGCATGGATCTCACTAACTGTCAGCTTTTTCAACCCCAGTAAATTCTTGACTTGAAGCAGGCCTAGCCACCCCAAGTCCTAGACCCCAAGCTCAAGCCCAACCCTGTGCAGCAGAAGATCGAAGCATGTCCCCATATCTGTATGCCTCACACCAAAAACCGAAGCCTGGTCGGCGGCCCCCCCCCCCCCCCCCGCATCGCCTGAATTTCGCAACCCGGGGGGGGGGAGGCAGAAACATTGGCAGACTCAATTTTTTGGGTGGGGGGGGGCCCCCTCCCCCCCCCACCTTGCAGCCCTTCGGTCGCTTGTTGACCCACCTTAACACGAGAGAGATAGGTTCTCAACGACAACTCAAGCTCCCAGGACCTGGCTTTCGTGATTGGGGGGCCGGTTGGGGCAGAACATGAGACGCACGTGCCCGGGATCTGGGCCAGAAGAGGTGGAACAGGTCGGCTCATATACATGTATATATATAGGGGACGATACAAGCGCGATGCTCCGACGGCTGATGTGCGATTCTGAGAATAACAAGGGGCTAGGTTAACTGAAATCTTTGCGTGTGAAGTCACATCTCCCCAGTGACACGCGGCTCAGAGCGAAGTCACATCACCCCGCGTAAAGTCGCATCACAGAGACATACGTTGAAGCCTTTCCCCCAATGTGCAGGTGCCGCACTCGCATGGTCTCGACACACATGCAAAATACGCACTTGTCACCGCACGCCTGGGAGGGGAGCACATTTGTCAGCGTGAATGAGATTTCTGCTTGGGGGTGCAAGTGGGTTCTGACCAATCTTGGAATTCGCGAATCCCCAGTGTGCACACGACCGAGATACGACTTTACACAAGAAGATACGACTTAACCTACCCCCCTGTACCCCTTGCTGGAATTGCCTTAGAATCCAAGTCACGTTGATCTGTCCGAGCAGTGAAGCGTGCTCTGTTGACAGGATCAACTTGCCATCGCCATTGCAAACCCTGGAGGTCAGGCTAGTCTGCTCCAAGTCCATGTACCTTATGCTTTCCTTATGCTCGCTCATTTAGTGGCATGCTGGCATGCTCTCCGGTAGCCGAGTAGTCTTGCAGTGTGTGGAAAGGGGCGAATACCGAGAGTGCAGACCCAAGAAGCCCGTACCTGCCGAGGCGCTTGTAGTCGTGCGCAACACTTCGCCGCCAATTTTCCGCAATTGCAACATTGTCTGCGAAAGGGTTGCCCAAGAAGTCTTCTGTCAGCAAGATGACGCCTGACAGCATGCACATCATGCTGCTGCTGCTGCTGCTGCTGCTGCTGCTGCTGCTGCTGCTGCTGCTGCTGCTGCTGCTGCTGCTGCTGCTGCCGCTGCCGCTGCCGCTGCCGCTGCCGCCGCCGCCGCTGCTGCTGCTGCTGCAGAATGTGCGCCCCAACATATGCCAGGGGTCAAAGGAGTTTAACCGATTGAAACAGGTTGGAAACTTCTGCAAGAAGAAAGTTCACAATGCTGCCGGGGAGCAGAAGGTGATCTGCATGCCCATACTTGCAAGTAGCAGGAGGCAAGCGATCAGAATGTCAATCCAGCCACTGCCCTTGGTCACCGATGCGATCGGGGCACCATGCAGTCGGAACATGTCGGAACCCAACTGGGCTCAGTTTGTAGCAAGTCAGGCCGAAACTTATGGAGCAAACTGCTGAGAGGGAGCGAGAGTCAGAGACAGAGAAAAAGAGAAAGAGAGAGAGAGAGACAAAGAAAGAAAGAAAGAAAGAAAGAAAGACAGAGAGAGAGAGAGAGAAAAACAGAGAGAGAGAGAGAGAGAAAAAAAAAAGAAGGAAGGAAGGAGGGAGGGAGGGAGGAAGGAAGATAGAAAGACAGAAAGACAACGAGACAGAAAGAAAGAAAGGTTTGCGATTTGAGGGTGCCCCTCAAGGTGCAGGCAAAGATAAGCTCGGCCAAAAGAATCACGGTCTACCCCGAATGTCTCCCAGTCGCCGTGTATCCCAGCACAAGGATAAGGTTCAGCGTTGTCTCCATAAATGCAACTGGCTCCTGCAGGCATTGCAGGCGTAACATGGCCCCACGCAACACTCCGGGATACAAATGGATGCGACGTGCAGTACAGACAAAGGTCCTGCGTTGTATCGTCCACGTCGGGTGCACGGACGTGCTCCAACTGGGGATGGAACTGTGGATGAACTTCGTGAGCTTCGTGAGCGTCGTGAACTTTGGGGTCCGCGATGGTCTCGAGTGTGTGAGGTTTGTCCTTCAGCTCTCGGCAGCTGCGTGATAGAAGTCAGATCCGAAACACACCGAGCCCATCCAAGATCCCGACCGAGCAGAGCTTGACCTGAGCCAGAGGAATTGACTATGGGAGCACGCTCTGACCCCGTGGATGACCCAGCCGTTTGGAGCCAATGTGTTGTGCCCAATGCTGCGCCCAATCCTGCCTCGATGATCTCCGACGCATCGTCGCTCTTCCGGTCCTGCAAGGGAAGACGGCATCATACATCACATCAGGTCACTGTCAGGTCACCGTCATGTCGCGGGTAGTGTACCGGTAGCATGCAGTGGCATGTAGCACATCATGCGAAACCGATCATATGGGCAGCGCATCATGTAGCATCAAATATCATGAAATGCGGCGATGGTCATCTCACATTCTCAGCCTATCTTTCTTCTAACCCTCGCCCTGGCAGTTTGGTCCGCGTCGGTGTCTTTCGCTTTTTTTCTTTCTTTCTTTCTTTCGTTCTTTTGTGGGGCCTGAGGGCACAAGGGCACCTTGTGGCGCCTCTCTCTCTCTCTCTTTGCTCTCTGTACGCCTAGGCCCCTTTTCGAAGGGAGAGCTGCCCCAAGGGGCGCGCAAGTCCACGGGTCAGTCCGTTGTTCCTGGGTTGGAGGTTTTCCGTCTCGATAGCATCTCTATCTCGAACTCTCTCCGCTTCTCCCCTCTCCCTCCTGTAGCACTGTAGCATCAAAGACCTGGCACCGCCACCCCCCTCCCTCTTCCCCACACCGCTCCAACTCCGGGCCACTCAGTGCGCCTCGTTTGCGAATTGCGTCTCCAGGTGCGACTCCAGCGCTTGCCTCACGGATCAAGAAGTCACGTGATGTCACGTGCACGCATAACGATGCAATGATGCAATGCATCCTGGATACAGCCGTGCCAGACACGGAGCGAGCTCCCTTGACAGCCGGTGCTCCAGCTCGTCGCAGATCCTGGAAAGCAAAACGGCCATTAAATGCGCACGGCACACAGCGGCACATTCTTGCAGCAGAAGTTTGAATGCTCCAGCTCAATCACAATACGATGGCAATGTATAAGCTCGGTTGAAGAAAAGGTGTCGAGAACACGTCCGTCGTCTTCTGTCACAGCCTGGGTGCTCGATGCGTAGCTTTCGCTCAAGGTTCGCCAGCGCTTTCTCCAGCTTCACGGCCGAGATTGCCGACATCCCGCGATGCAGCTGCTCTTCTGTGTCTTATGGCGCTTATGGCTGGCATATCACAACATCATAACTACATCCAGTCCGAAGAGACTAGCCGCGATACTGGTTTACGCGCACTCTCTTTAGAAAAGGGCTTGCTGCACAATGTGGAGCGTTGACATGGGAGCTACGATCAATGATCCAGGACGGCTGCGGATCTTCAAATGGTTATTCCGTAAAGCCAAAGCATGAAACCTCCAACGCAAGGTCCTGAGTCACCAAAAGGGTTTTGGGCGTTCGTCCAAAAGGATGCAGATGATCCCTAGGCCCTAGGCTCACGCGGCCGGCAACCAATTAGATGTCATGAGAAACGGAAAAAAGTCAACCCCCACCTTCCGGATTCTCAATGGTGTTGTGGTTGCTTTTTCGTGTGAATAAATGTGAATAACTTTTGAGTCTGGCTGTAACTTGCCAAAAACCTCACGTAGACGTGCCCCCAAGATCCGCAAGCATGCCAGCCTCCTCCGCCTCTCTGATGGGCTTGCAAGCGGGGCCTCGCCTTTGGTGAGGCCCATCGCCTGACGTCAGACACAGCACAGAAGATCCCAGAAGAGTTGCTATCAATTGAGTTACTTGGGCTGCGCAGCAGATCCAATCGAGCCTGCAGCACGGACTTCACCTCGGCAACATTCCTGGCACCCTCGAGACTCCTGGGCTGGGGGGTTGATAGTGTTTTACACTCATGTGAACACCTGCGGAAGGGGAAGGGGACTGAAGTCGATGCTCTCCCCTTTTCCAGAACTCTACATGTCTACATTATCCTACAAAGCAGCGCAAGGCGTGGTGCAATGCACTTCTACGTTGATTTCGATATACTCCCCCCAGCATTCCAGGAATTACACCCCTTAATACTCCTAATTTTCTTTACCCCCCCCCCCCCCCACACACACAAAAAAAAACCACAGAACTCCCAGCATTACACCCCTTCCCCCACGACGCAAGCACATGTGAGAGCATGTGGCAGCGAGCAAGAGCTACTTGTTTGAATCCTACTCAAGGCCCGAGAGACATCCCGAAATGAACTCGAAACGAACTCGAAACGTAGATACTCGTTCGAAACGTAGATGAGGTGCTCGAGGCGCCCCACCGCCTCGGCAAGGACGCCCTGGAGGGAAGCCAGGGAGCTCCCGCCGCTGGCTTCGTCTACCTGGTGAAACAGCGCACTATAGTGATACGATAGTGATACTATAGTGACACTATAGTGATACTATAGTGATACTATAGTGCGCTTCGGGGCACGACGATCACGACGGAGAAAGGCCAGAAGGCCGAGGCGAGGCTTGAAGCAAAGTCTAAGCAATTGAATGGAAAGCCCCGTCCAAAATGAAGAAACAAGTCTCTGCAAACAGTGCCACATAGTCACACGTGCCAAGTAGGCCGAGTCCTCCCGTAAATGCATCGTAAGTTCTTCCGAGCGCCGCGCCTGCGAAAGCAGTGCCGCCCCTTGGCGGAGTTCCTCCGCCGATGCCAGGAGCTCCCGAGCCGTTTCGGGTAAACCTTTGCTGAACTTCGGCTGAGGTTACTGAGGTTGGTCTCGGCAATGGCTAGACTATGGGCAGGCGTTGCCTTGCAGTCCTTGCAGCTCCGGAACAGCGGCGCAGGTCGTCCAGCAGCAAATTCGCTACCGCATTCGCGCCATCCGAGATGAGCCGGGAGGCGGCAAAGGTGGCAAGAAGGCCCACCTTCTGCAGCCAGTAAGGCACACAGCGAGCCTGAGGTCCGCCTCAGAAGGTGCCGGCTACTGAGACATCATACATCATACCGGACAAGCACTGTCCCAGCACGGTCCCAACACGACCCAAGCTGCCTTTAGGCTGAAGCACCGCTGACACTGGCCGTTTTCCGGCATACGCCGATGCTGGCCGTGAAGGCCGTGAACCACACAGCAGATGCCGTGTCTGATGTGTCTGATGTGTCTGATGTGTCTGATGTGTCTGATGGCTGGATCCGCACAGCCCGAGCATCGCGTCCACAATGGCCGACTGGAGGCCTCGGGGGGGGGAGTCCCGGGTGATGCTTTGCACAATCTGCGCATACTCTGCTGCTCTCCTTTCTGCTCTCAAATGTCCAATGTGCTGGTCAGAAATGGTCTGAATGGAGGTCGGGGAGCTTTGTGAGGGTTGGAGCAAACCATCCTCCACGAGACCAGACATCACCCTTGCTGCAGCTGCCGCATCCAGTTGCGACCTCCAGCCAACTCTGGTAAAACCTTGGCTCGTCTTATGATATTTCAGTCCCCGTACATGTGTCGGCCTCGTGAGGCAAGTGGAGAGCATCAGCGTAACCTATCCAATGGTTATAATAAGTATATACAAGCTTAAGGTTCATGTCAGATAATACGTGACCTGCTGGCCGCGAGACAGCAGCAGCGCTTGGCAACAGCTGCCTGTACATTCCGACGGTCACTTGGTGAGCTCGTCGACATCTTTCCTGCACAGAGTGAAGCGGGTGGGCACGGGCGGGGTATCCGAACCATCACTCACTCGATCCGCTTCAACAGTGCGGCGTGGCGTCCTGAAATGGTCAAGGCCGCCTCATGCAACTCATCTAAGCCGTCACAGTTTCGCAACCTTTGGCTGGACAACAATCAACAGTACAAACAATCACTTCAACAAACAGCCGAGAATCCTACAGCTGAATTTGTCTGGGCCATGAGCATGGCGTAGAGCAGCAGATGCAACAGATGCAAGTTCAGCAGCATCACTGCTCGGGAGGTCCATTATGGTCAGAACCAGTGGGCTGCTGCTTCCGGAAGCGTTCGTGTCGAGGAATATGCTTAGCTCTGGCTTTGCTGCAGCTACGAAGCAGCTCCAGATCTTGCTTTGATAAAGGCGTCGGCCCGTGCTGGATCTCCTGCAGAAACAGAAAAGGAGAGAAGCTTTCAAAGGGCACGTGCAGACTCGGGCTGGAAAGGAATTCAGTCAATTCGGTCAGTCAGTTCAGTGTCACTACCCTCATCCACGCCTGGACCGTCACCACGAGCTCGCTTCGACAGTATGGGCATTCCCGTCGGCGAAGGCGCCGGAAGCAATAGCTACCTCGAATTGGTGATGCTCATGATCCTAAGCCTCAAGCTGCAGCTACGCTCATGATCCTAAGCCTCAAGCTTCAGCGACATTCATTAGCTACATTCTATAATCCAATACAAGATTTGCGTGAGTCATACGCATGAACTGAAAGGCTTTTCGGAGTCAAAAAATCTGGACTGAGCTCTTTCGGGGGTGATGCTAGGTTGGTGAGCCCAACGCTGGGCTTTGAGGACCTGGATCCGCTTGTGATCACGGATGTGGAGGCACTGGCAGCCGGGGGCACAAAAATCATAGACCAGACGGCTTGCGGCGGAGGAGGGTCTAAAGCGAGGGGCAGAACATGCGGAATCTCGCGGATCTGGGTACCAAGGCGCTGGATCACTTCTCCACTACTCCACAAGATCGGAATCGGCCGGGAGAGTGGGGTTGAGAGAAAGGTGTCCGTGTCAGGGACCAGGTGACCAGGGAGGACCCAGAAGTGAGACCAGCAGTGAGCGCGGAGCATGTGGGAGTCATTCTGGAACCAGCAGCCCAAAGGCCGAGAATCAATCGAGTGGACGGCCGGGTCTGAGTTTGAGTTTGCTGTACAGAGATGAATGCTTTTGCTGCTTTGAAAGCCTTGAGCTGAGAGTCTCTGTTGCAGAAGGGTGTTCAGAAAGCCTTAATAGCCTTAGACATTTGGCCACAAACCCAACTCAAACCTTCCCCGAGAAGTCGCCACCCGCCCGCTTTCATCAGGGCACAGAGTGGATGCCGGCAGGGTGTCCGCCGGCGGGTGCGACGGAGGCAAACGCAGCACTCTTCGCGGTGGGCGTCCATCACAAACCAGGAACTCGTGCAACTAGAGCAGCTAGAGCGCGCAGAGGTCAATACAGAATAGAGCTAGCACGGCTAAACAGAACCATCGTCCTGACAAAACGGCGGTGCTACCACCGACAGACTAGGTTGGGTCCTTCCAGCCTGATCCACTATGTCACCATTGCTTCGTTCATACACAAGCATGCCGTCTACAAGTCAGCTATCGAACCTAGTCCTGGACATGAAACTAATTAACAAACACTGCCCAGAGCCAAGCGCGACAGATTTGCATTATCTTGCATTTCAGGCATGATGACGTGAGATGAACTCAGCTGGAACAACTTGGCCAGTCTAGGCTCAGAACGGCTCTCCTGCACGGCAACAGTTTTGATAGCATCGCGCTGTCACCACATCCAGACAATAATAATTGGAGTCGGGTCAGCTTACGGGGCAAGTGGCCAGCGTTCCACATCCAGCAGAGCTCTCGCTCTGGCAGACTGCAGATTGTTAACCTGTGTGATTCAACGGTCCAACAAAACTATCCCTGCTTGTCAGCACGTTCCGACGGCTGCCTCTGCCAAATGTCTGGTGATAGCCTGATAGCTTCGTCTCGGAACCGGCCGTGGGCGTCAGGGATTCCGATAGGGACCCCCCAGTTCCACACCTTCCACACCTTCCACACCTTGCCCACCCCCCGGTTTCGCTAATCCTGGAGGCTTCTGAGAACCGAGGTGGCACATGCTGGGATTGGGTTCCTGCCGCCCGCATTTTGGACCCTATCCCCCAAAGCACGGGATACTAATCCAAACCAGCGTTTTGTTCTTGTATCTTACGCACACAGACGAAACCCCAGGGACCCTCAGGCCACGCCTTCCCCCAGCACCTGGGATTTTTTCGGGACTCTAAAACTGTATAGTGCGTTGAGAGCCAACACCTCAGAACCCCGAAAATACCCCCTTGGGAAGTCCCCCTGCCACCAACACTCCCAAAAGCTGCCCTTCAACAAACATCCCCAAAAACCCAACCAACAGGGAACTTTCCATCTCAGCAGGGATTTAAAAAAACATACGTAGGGTGATGGCGTGATCATTACGAAGTGCTTTGAGGGGTGCTTCGCCTCGGGCCAGGCCGCAGGTTCCCCCCTGCGTGATCCCTGAGGAATCTTGATGCACCCACGGACCCACTGTGAGCCCCTCGACGGATCTCTACAGACCTTATTAACCTGCTGTGACCTTCGAGACTTCCCTAAGCCAGGTTTATGCTCTGACTTCGGTACCCAATGCCACCAATAAAGCAAAACCAAGCAAACACCCTCACCTAACGCCAAATGACGAAGTTAAACCTGCCCAATGCCAGCGAGAAGCCTACCTGACCTAACGTCCGACTACGGCGAAACGCACTGTAAACCCAAAGCCTCTACCGCTGCGTGTCAGGCCGTGCAGAGGCGGCAGACGCGCAGCGTTTACAACTAGCCAGGATGCTGCGACGCATCAATGGTTCAACATGGTTCAGGCAGCACTGCGCGAAACCAAGTGGCAAAGGGCAGAACATCGGCCGCACAGCTACGCAAATAAGACACCCGCATCAGTTTTCCCGATAGGGAAAGACCTGATGGTGTCAGTCACATACGAGTACTGATACGGAGAAACAGGCCCGGATCGAGCCCAGGCATGTTCTAGAATGAGTCGCCCCCAAGGATAAAACAAGGATAAGATGGCACAAGAGATAGTGTGAGCTGAGTCGGGGTGCACCACGGCTTGCTACAGAAACCATGCCGACGCCTGGACCGGTTTCAACACATTTCTGAAACCTGTAGGGCCCAAGGCGCAGAGTAGAACCAGCTTGCCAAACTTCGAATTATGCCCACGCTTGCTCGCTCAGTGCTGCGGGGTGCGAGGGCTCGCAGGGCTCAATTTGCGAGTTGACCCCAGTTGAAGCCGAAGCATGGTCGGAGTGATGGTCATGAAAATGTCATGAAACATCTTCTGCAGCAAGGTGCACGCTCTCTGGCTTCAACATCGAAGATGATTCTCACTGCCTGCGCTCCATGTCTCACATCCCACAGGCAGCCCATCAGAACTCCGTCAGACCATTGGTTTCTACTCGGCTAGGGGGTATCGCTGTGCTGATGTAAACATGCCGTGGGCATATCTGCGATGTGCAAGAATGCTTGTGGCCAACAGTGGCCGACACAGAGGGCGCGCCCACGGTGGCTACAGATCCTATACTTGTGCGATGTCTGTGACATTTTCCATGACTCATGCAATCCGAAGGCAGCTTCCTTTGCGTCGGGTTTCGAGCTGTTGAGACTGAGCCGTTCGGCACTCCTCCAATGTAGGTGAAGAATCGTAAATTCCACCACTATTAATTCCCAATGGATCATGAGCATCAGCATAGGTCAGATGCTGAGAGGCGCAAAGTCTCAAAGTGCACTGAAAGGTACGGAAAAGCATGGTTGCAATTTCTACTCTACTTGGCTATTACAGAACCGAACCCACCTTTATCCAAGTGCTGTGGCGACATCATGTACCGTGCTCTTCCCATCTGTTTCATCTGTGCCACAGCAATGCTAGGCTGGAAACTGGATGTCCAGGACCTCCAAAGTGAAAATCATCACAGCGTCCGGCGGAATGCCCCAGGCTTTGTAGCCGCGCTGAGGCACAGGGATTGTGAGAACATGTGCTTTTGAGCGATGGGAGATATATCAGACGTCGACACAGCTCACCCGCTATAATCAACAGCAACACAGCAACACCGTGTAAAGCAAGAACCATGCTCCGTTCAACATCCGCCCCGGCCTGGCCGTAGCCTTCGGACGCAGGTATCCGAAGCTGTCGCTTCTCGCCCACCTCAAACGCTTCAATGGCAACCTAAGGCCCCAGGACCTAGGATGCCCTGCAACTTTAATTCCCTGGCAGTTGAAAGAAGCCCGGTCAGGATTTTCGTGATTTCCCTATCCAGCTCAAAGCCGAGAATTACGTGCATTTACCTCATCTCGAAGACAAAAGCCCAAGATAAATTCCGGCAGGCGTCCGCCTCGGGAAGGGGGCTGGGGGGGGGGGGGGGGGGGGGGGGCAGCAGGCAGAACTGCTGCAAAGCATGCCGCTTGCCATTTCTGTCCGGAAACCTGCGTTGCGAGGCTGCCTGAATAGTGAAACTGCCGACAAGATCTGAGCAGAAAGCGCAGACGTTGCGCATGGCCACCCCAAGACACATGCAGTTGACGCGTCAATGTATGCATGTCCAAGCTTTCTCTCAGCTCAGTTGAAGGAGTCTATCAATTACTTGTAATCGTGACTGCGACACTTTGTGTCGAGCCAACTCCTGTCAATCTGCATCCACAAGGGGCGTGACAAATGCATAAACCGTCAACGCAGTTGAAGAGTTTACCATGGTGCTTTGTGATGGTGGCTTGGGAACATGCCCCTGGAAACAGATCAAGCAATGTTCTGGCCTCACTCCATCCCACCAAACAGACCTGAGACAGATCTGGTGGCTCCACCTACAATGTAGTCATGCCTTCCACGACATGGCACGACCAGATTCCACCAACAAAGGAATCCCGCAAACATTACGCTGATACCAAACTAGCCACATCTAGCGGCAGCTTTTGTTGCCGAGAGGCATTCGACCGATGCCCAACCTTGTAGATAAGTGAGTGCGCACAAAGAATTGTGACACAAGCAGGGAAAGACTTGGGCAGCGCAAATCGTTCAAGCATGAACATGGCATGTGTGGGCTACTGTAATCGGTTGATTGCTCTCATCTCTTGCTTGGCGGCAATCGCTGTGACGATCAGGGCTTGACTACTGCCCGCGACAGTTTCAAGCCGAGCGTCAAGACTGGCAAGGAGCGCACAAGATGAGCTCTGCCTGACGGAACAACGAAAGCCATCCACATACTCTCCACATCTGCGCCCTGGGATCATGAGGGATTCAATGCGAGTGAGTACGTGGAAGGGGTTTGGTCGGGTTGGCTGGTCTAACTCGTACAGTACTGCACGACACGGCACACGCCAAGGGCCCGGCCATGTAGATACTTCAAGTGGCTACGTAACAATTAGAATATTGTTGAATCCTTACACAAGAACACTCATGTACTGGCCTGCGTGTCACTCAACCCGCAGCAGCTCAGGCCGCAAACGCATGGTGCCCTTGCAGGGTCAGCGTGCTGGCCAAAGCAAGAGCACCCTTTCTCAACAAGCCCCATTCATCCCCATTCCTTGGGCAACTGGTCTGTCTGTATCAATCCGTCCAAAGCTACTGAAGGCAAAACCAGAGACCTCAAATCCAGACATGTCGGGTGCTTTCTCGGTGTTGGTGCTCGCGGGGGGTGCCCACAAACCTCCAAGTCCCCGACGCTATTGGGCACCACGCGCAGCTAACCACCACCAGTGCGACCGCGGTTGCAATGATTCCCAAGCCGCACACAAGCCTGAACCAAGACATTGCATATTGCAACACAAGAGCGCAAGAGAGTGCCTCTTGCTGGCAACATCTTACACTCACATGCTTTGTTGGTGGCCAAGGTCTGGGCCACAGAGGCAGCGTGCACCAAAACACCAAGAACCCCATAAACGTGCCAGGCCTCAGTGCAACGATGCCCCCGCTGCACTCAACCGACCCATGCACCCACGAGCATGCACCTACACTTTGCTTGCAAACTTACTACCTTCCCACATCTCCCACCACATGTTGCATAATGTTGCATACGCATGGGCTTGCACTGCGTTCGGCGCCCGCCAGTTCCGCGGATTTTCGCATCTCGCGGCTGGAGCCCGTTCGCATCCGTTCGCACTTTGCTCGCGTTTCTGCTTGAAATCGTACTTTGTTGTAGGCTGCAGGTTCAACTGATGCTCATGGCTGGAATTTTCCGGATGACGATGGTGTAAGTCAAATAAGCTTATTGACGGAGATGGTGACAGTGTCTCCACAGGGACCTGCTGATAGTCTCTGGCACGGCATATCATGGCATGAAGGAGATGCATGGAGATGCAGGAGTGTAGAGTAGAGGACATCGCGTGAATCGAAGCTCCAAAGCTGTTTGTGCATTGCGTGCTCATGCGCATGGCAAATGCCAGATGCTGCGTGCGGTTGTCAGCGACATGCTGGGAGCCAGTGACCAGATGTTCAACATCATATCGTAGAGTATCACAGAGCGCAAGGCAGGCATACACGGCAAGGCGTGCTTTGCGATCCTGATCAGATGAACTGGCTGACTGCTGTCCTCGTGGCGCTTATCGCCTCTCCAGCTGGCTGATGGGTTGCTTGAATTGCTGGCCTTCAATGGCCACATGGTTCCCCCAAGTCTGGAGCGTCTGGCTCAAAGTTTCAGCAACGATCGTATGAGGCTGCGGGGCCGCACGGGTGGCACCTCAAAAGCGCACGTTGGAGGGCCCATTGGAGGGGGCAAAGAACATAAAGAATACGAGCGCGCAGCATGCATGACAAACTGTGTCTTGTAGGACATGCACATCACGAGGCGCAGCTTTCTCTGCATGCGCAAGCCATGAACGACACGTACACTGTTTGCACTGTTGCACGCCTCCTACGCTGTGAAACTTACACGACTTACAGTACACAGGCACACGCAGGCACGTGGGCTATTGCTGACAACGCGCAGATGCACACAAGCCGCAAACAGCGCTTTAAGCAGTCAAGCACATCTTCCAGGGCTCTCACAGAGCCAATACTCCTGAGCAAGGCGACTTCAGAACTCGGAAACTCTCTGTCAAGCTGAGCGTTGCGGAGGCCGGTACGTGCAACGAGAGTCAGCTTGGAGGCAATGTCCTGATAAAATGAAGCCGAAAAGCTGCATAATGCTGAGAATATATCTGAGAATGCAACACAGTAAGCTGCTTGAACGAGGAGCCTCCACTCCACCTGCACCTATTCTAACCAACGCACTGCCTGTTCGTCACACGATTATGATGGGTGCCCGGCATACAGTAGCAGGTGGTAAACCATGAACTTTCGCAACGCTGGCGAGCGTTGTAGAGGTATGGGGGCTTCATGAGGTTTCGACAGCTCTCGATGACACGCGATGTCGCTAGCAGCACTAGCAGTGGGGCCCGTGGGACCTGAGCAAACTGACACGCAAAAACCAATTCATTGACCTCCATCACACCTTGCACGCTCACAAATGTCATGCGCTCCCATGTTGCCTTCCTGACAGACCTGCCATGAACGTGACCCCAGGACTGTGATGTACGGACATGTCATACGCGCACCCCGAGGTGTTGTCGCGTGGCAATGCAACCCGCTGCCATTGCGCAACACAGAACAGGAAAGCAACTGGTCCTTGCTTTCCAAGGACGAAAATTGTAAGCAGCCTAACAGGGCAGCAGAACAACTGAAAACAGTTGACAGCATGTCCAGGAGAGCACAGGTGCCTGCCGGATTCGCCGGATTGTAGTGCCAGCCTCACTGCAGCAGATGAGTTCACACTGCAGCGCTGATCAGTGCTGTCTCAGAATGTCAATGGATGTCCCATAGGCCCTAGGCCCGTGCACATGCTGAGGGCCCCTGCCTAAGCTGAGGCGTCCGTCAAGAAGCTTCCCGCATGTCCAGCACCAATGGCTCTGGCAGGCCTTGCTTTCTATGTGACTTAACTTACTGTGACTTCAAGCCGATACTCCAGCCTTTGGACCTACGATTGCAGCTGCTGCGACAGCTGTGCACTTCTCACACAAGGTACGCTCACTACGCAATGAAAGGTTGCCTGAGTGCCCGCCTCAGAACCGAAGTAATCCCCAAGGCCACACAAATGTTTGGAGGCACGCGGCGAAGCAAACCATGTGGTTGCAGCCATCTGCCTTCAGCGTCTGTGCCTCTCCGGGCTATGGCCAGGTCGGATCAAAATAGCGCCTAAGGGCCTAAGGATAACGCCTCAGGATGCAACTCGACACGATTCTGCCTGGCAGCTCGGGCACTCTTTGGCGCCCTGAGCTTCTAGCGCCAGCTTGGCCTCCCGCGCCTCCTGAAACTCAAAGGACAGGGAACTGACAGAACTGAAGAGTTTGGACATGAAGGCGGAGTCGGAACTTCGGAACCTCCCGCGCATAGGCCTCGCAAGCCCCTTGGCCTGCAGAACTTGCTGAGACGACTTGCTGAGAAACGTGACTCGTAGGTGAAGTCGCAGCTTCGGCCTGGTGGGTGCGCGTTGGAGTGGTAGTAGCAGAAAAGGTGCCCTTGGCTGCACCGCCTGCCAATGCTAAGGCAACCCACGGTTTCGTTGCAGTCGCACCACCACATGGCCGGACATGGATTTCTTTCGCGTTCAGATATGTGCAAATGTACGAGTAGACGTTTGAGCTCCAGGCATCTCCGGATTCAAAGCCAGCACCTCCACACAAAAAAACACCCACCATGACTTTTGATTGCAAGGGTTCCGACGCCCCTTTTACCACTGGGCCGCCTTGCCGCAGACTGCCACGAAGCATGACATAGCACATACCCGCATGTCATTACATGCAACTGCATCCAACTACATCTGAATACAATACATATGTACATATATACATAGATACATGTATGTCAATGTCTATAGTCCATTCTGTGTACTATATAGCAGACGCAGTGACAAATTGGATCGTCGCAACAGAGTTCCCAGGACTTCCGATGAAACTCTCCCGGTACATCCCGTTGCCCTCCATCAGCCGAGCCTCGCTAGTGCCGTTGGCTTCAAGATCTGCCTGGCACAACGGAATAGAAAGTGGACAGTGAGATGAGATGAAGGACATGCTGAGCATTCCACACTGCTCAACCTACATCAGCCAACAACATCTCACACAGTCTCGCAACTGACTCGAAACCGCTCAGAACAGTTCACAACATGGAACAGGGAAATTTGGGATTCGCCCGCCTCTGAGCCCATCTGCGGCCTTGGAGTCAACTTCTGACAAGGCCCTAGCCGCCTAGATTCTTGCTCATTTTTCCTCCCACATGCTCCCACCTACCGCGCTATATGTATGTATATACAAAGACATATGCATACGTATACATCTACACGTATATCATATACATATTCATATGCATCTATGCGCATTGCTTTGCGGCCTTCTTCACGACCGTAAGGCTATGGAAAGCCGGCTAGCTGCTAGCTCGCCTTCTCCCTTTTGTTTCGGAGGCTTGAGGAGACACGGTCTTCCGAAACCCGCCCGATGGTTGGAGTGAGGACACTCCGTCTGCCCACCCGCAGTTCAGTGCCAAACATCCCCCGAGTATGCAGGCTCAGAAAAAGCAACCCTGTCCAAACCCGCAATTGCAAGGACCTAATGTCGTGCAAGCCCTCAGCGAAAATACAATCAAAAGGTAACTTGTGGCACACTCCCTCGAGGGCAACACATGTCGCAAACGGCTGTCTAGCTTTCCTTCTTTGAGGGGGGTTTCGGGCCAGGGGGCCCTGCACGAGTTGCCCCCCACACTTTTCATCGTGATTCATTGATGTTTTTCGGCCTGTACGCATCCACCTCCATCATCCTCACCGCTTTGCTTGTCATTCAACCTTCATCCGGTGTACCCTACTTCCCTTCCTTCATCCTCCTTCCTCCCTCTCCGCTCTCTGCGCTTCTCATCCTGGGGTTCCAGCTTGACTAGTTCCGCACATGTTGGACACTCGCGAAGCGTGGCGTCCTCTCTGCGAGGATGGGTTGCACGCGCCAGGGCCCTAGCTATTCAATTGCAGCTTACACATCCGCACCATGGCAGATGCACTCATGATCATCCATGCATGCACTCATCGCGCCTCGAGCTCACGACATGTCACGATCAGCTCTCATTCGAGCACAATGCAGTACAACTGCAACGCCCATAGCAACCCATGTGGTATCCTCGACCATGGCGCTGAAGCGGAGATACTTCTGAAAGACCTTGGCATAGGTTGAATTTGTTGAACGTGTTGCACATGGTCTCATTCTTGTCATGTTGCTTCTCACATCTCACCATCTTTGCGTGTTTCATCCAGCCTCCTCCGGAAGGATGGAGGCCAGCTCATGCTCCTGGCAGAACGGTGCTAGCAGCAAAAAGTGTAGGACGAGCACAGGCATGTCTGCGAGGTTCATCGAATGAAGATCAATGAATTTCATTGTCGCTGCGTGTGAAAACGGTATGCGCGGCGTCACCTGCGCTACCGCCTGGCAGCCATCACCTCAGCATGCAGTCCGCCCGCTGTGCACTACTCAGCATCACTCAGCAACCGAATATAGCGGAGGGATTGCTGCAGCTGACAGAACCTGTGATTCTCTTTCCCAGAAAGCGCTAAAGCCCCAAGCGCGCAGAAGATCCAACCGGAGCAATCTCCCTACATGGCTGGCCTAAGCATTGCCAAGAGGAAATCCTGCACTCCACTCTACACGCCCACAGTTGCTCAACTGCACATTGTTGCTTCTTCAAGTAACAATACGAAGCCTGCATGACATTTGCATGACGTAGTAAGCCGGGCACTGCCAAACAAGGGGCATCGGAGATCTTTGACACGCCTCTCCTTGCTGAAGATGTGGCGAACTCGACGAATTGTGCTGCGAAGCGACTGTACTTGTGAGCGCTATAGCAGGGTCTGAAATGGATGCTCACGGGAGGACTGATGGGAGGTTTTTGTTACGCGAGGTGACGAGATGTTGCCAGTCTTCGCCTCTGACGAGCTCATATAGGACATCTCGGTATTGATACGCTTCGTACTGATCCGAGCTTGTACCGCGAGAGTCATCTCTAATCCGCTCCCCTAGCGGTCCTCAATCCGACCTTTGAGGTAGCAGCACAGGCAATCTCTGCACCTGGCGTTGCTGCGTCCAGTTGCTACGCAAGACTTCCTGGTGAAGCTTCCAGGGACTGGTGATGAGTGACTAGACATGTATACAATACACGAGATGTGCGCAGATTCGGCACGCATCCCTGCCAGCATGAGCATTGATCACAGCACATGCCGGCTGCATCGGCCTATCGTTCGGCTATGTTCCACTCGCCACACTCCATCTGTGTACTTCTTGCATGTTCAAATCCCAGAGCTCAGCCACTGCAACTATATCCTAATTCCGTCCAAGAAGCAGGGTGTGAGTCTGTGGCGCAGCACACTGGGACAAAGTCGTCTTGACCCTGCACACGAGAATACCATCAAAATGCATCAAGACAACTTTTGATGAGGATTGCACGGCACGCAGGCAGTATTTACGAATGCCGGACAAATCATCGGAGGGCAGCAAAGCCAGACCTTCCCACGTGGGCGCATCAGCAAACGATGCAGGGCCATCAGAATAACATTGCCTTCCCCGTCCATTGCAATTTGTGCATGTCCCTCACAAGTCGTCTATCCAGCAGAAGCAGCAGCAGCAGCAGCAGCAGCAGCAGCAGCAGCAGCAGCAGCAGCAGCAGCAGCAAACAACGGCTTCATGGTATCGGCCTGTCATCGCACTGCATCAAGCAAATCTTGCACGTGAACTCCGACCTTATGCGAGCTTCGAGGCCACCGGGCAAAGATGCGCAGGTATCACATGGGATTGCCATGTACCGCCGTATCGAGCGGGCCAAGACATTTCACGTCCAGTCTTGAAACGTCAGTCACTCAGTCGAAGCATATCGCAAGAACGGATCGCGCATATCTCGTGTAGCTCTCTTGTAACCATTGTAAGCCCGTGGCCTGGGAAGGGTGCGGAGTGGGAACCCCAAGCCGGCACGGCCTTGCAGCCACCTGACAGCGGTCGACACATTGGACCTAGCGCGGTCTTTCCAACATAGGAGTTGCGGCCAGCAAAAACGCAAGAGGCTATGCTTCTAAGTTAAGGCTAGCGAAAAAAAGACGCCCACAGCGGCAACAGACCAGACATGTTTGGCCTGGTAAAGAGGGTGCCATGGAGATCCTCAGAAAACGCCCGCCGGGCCTCGGTGATGTCAACTTGCTGGAACTCTGCGTCTCCGAGCTCCCCCGAGCACTCTCTTGCCGCATGCCCCCATATACCCAACGATTGAAAAGCTCCGAGATGAGGGTGTCTCTTTCAGTACTGCAAGCACCGTTGCCCAGCCCCTGCCCTTCAGCCTAAGTACAAGCTTCTAACTGTGCTTTCCATCCCCCCTCCCACAAATGAGATGCATACATGCTGGGTTGCTGGTCATTGCTCATTGAAAACTTGCTGCGCAACCTTGAACAGTTTCTGTGGACCTGCCGCTGCATGTGACCGGTTAGAACCGGACGATGTAAACGGCTTCGGTAGATGGCGTCAGTGGAGAGGAGTGGACGCGCTCCAGCACCTCGACAAGCTGGCTGTCAACAGTGTGTCACACGCAAGGTTGACCACTTCGACAGTGTCAAAGCCCCATGAGCTCAGCTTCCCTGAGACCATACGCATGGCACCTCAAACAGAACACATCACGTGCCATCCGAGCCAAACCCAAAGTTCCAGCATTCCGAACTCCCAAAGCCTCACCTTGATGCACATTTGAGTACAATATTGTACAATGGCAAGAGATGGCAAGAGAGATACCAAGATCTTACTTTCTGCTTCCGTTGAGCCCATGTCGAGGCCAAGCCATGTCGAGAACCAGACCAAATAGCCGCTGAAACTTCTGAATGTCGTGAGAGTATAGGCGCGCAGCGGAATCAACTAGGGTATGGTGCTGGCGAGGAAGTTGCATAGAAGATGATAGAGAGTCGTCGAACGGCAACGTTCTGTGGTACTTGGCAGTTTCGTTGGGCTGCCTGTTCCCTCGAAGCATCAGCAGCACGAGAGGCCATCCAACACGATCCAACAATCAATGTCTAGAGCTGCGCCTAAGCTGCAGGTGAATTTGTGGAGGTGTCCGGGCATGTCCGGGTCAAAGACATTATGCCTCAAACTGGCCACCTTTTTTATGCGTACATGCGTAATGTTTCTGTTAACACATGTTTAAGGTCGATTGCGGGCGCCTTCGGTTTGATGCTTCTCTCACTTCAGGCTTAAGATGTCTTGAAGTGCTTTTGTCTGTGCTGTGCACTTGTGTGAAAGCTTGAAGTGGATTGGCAAATGGCGAGGCAGTTGAAGCTTAAAACTTCAAACGGTCATGCTTTGCCAGCATCTAAGGAGCCGCGCCCTCATCCCCGTGCAGCCGGCGTCCCAACCAGTGATGACGCTGCCATCGCCGACCTGACACTGAAGAAAAGCACTGACCATTCGAAGCACAGCGGTCGTGACTGAATCATCGCAGCATGCCGCAGCGTGTCGCAGCTGCCGTTGTCTACCACCGCCCTTGGGTCCGGACTTTAAACTCGAATAGTTTCTTCTCCTTACGCAAGCTTCTGTGGCCGATTGCGGCCCTTGATGCAAATTTCAGGTCTTAAAGACCTTAGACCCGAAAGTGCATCAACCGCATCAGTCTTCCAGTCTGGAGGCAACTTCAAAATACCGGAAAAGCTCGATCTCACAGCTGCCCCAACATATTCCCGAAGGATCAAGAAACAATGCTTGCACAAGGCTTGCACAATGCTTGCACACTGCATGGAAGTCTGGGCTCACAACTTCAGTGCTCCAAAAAGTCTTGCCAGTCTGTTGGAGCATTCCTTGCCTTAGAGTCTTAGAGCTTGGAGAAGCACGCACTTTAACTTTAACTGACTAAGCGAGGTTCTAAAGTTTCTGGTCGAGTCGACCGCTTCATGTGCTCTCTGAGATAGGAGCGCGCTGACAATAATTCGAGCGCCTTTCTTGACCTCAAGGCAGGACACAGCCATCGGGAGGGAGGGGTGGGAGAGGGGGGGGTCGCCTAGGCCTTCTAAGCCTCGAACAAGATCGAATCCCTGTCCATGCTTGAGGACCTGACGCAAAGCCGCAAGATTCAAGGTTTCGCAGCTGCATGAGGAGTCTTATCATGCGGCAACAGGGTTCGCTCTCTCAAAATGAAAAGAGCTTCAAATGCAACTGATGGCCGCCTGAAGTTGCAAAGCAAAGCAGCGCACGCCAGCTCATGCAAAGCAGCCGACGCAGCACGACAAGACACCGCGCCTGGTAGGTCGTTGAATGTCCAGGGATTGGCTGCATCTTCAGCCTCTGAGCATCATGAGATATCATGAGATATCATGAGATATCATGAGCATCGGTTATCATCGGTTCATGGGCAGGATTTCCGCCTGATGCCCCGCCTGGCTCTGGGTCCAAGAGCCGAAGATGCCGCCCAAGAGGAGGCGGCTCGGGGGATTGAGGCTTCGGGTGCGAGTCGGCTTCACATTGATGAAGGGGATGTTTGAGGTTGGACTGGTTGGGATGGCTTGCATCTGTACTAAGTGTACGATTCCAGAAGATTTCATGTGACCTGCCGCAACGTTTTCTAAATGCCATGTCTGACCTCTCTGCCACACCCTCTCTGAATGAAGATGCTTTCGATCCTGATGCGGGGCGCCTTTGGCTGGCGCATGCGGTGTGATACAGAGCCAAAAGGCTGCCATTGAAAGGGCTTTGCAGCATGGGGTCATTCTGCAAAGAGCTGTTGCAGACGGGCACTACTCTCTGCAGATATCACGGCTTCATTCAGTGATGTCTAAAGAGCAATGTGGAGTGCCACATGGCGCTCTCTGAGGGAGCGAGCCTATTCTCCAGCTAACGCTGTTAACACTTTGCACTCGGAACAGCTGCAAGTGCCGAGCATGGGACAGTGACCCATACTTCGACCAGTGTGCAAGCCCCTCCTTGCTACTGCTCAGGCATGTGCCAATCCCAGGAAACTGAGGACCTCGTCTTCGAGTTCTGTTGCAACTAGCCCAGCACCTCCCCGGATCCCGACACAAAAGAGGTGTCGCGGGTGTGGGGAGAAACACTTGCTGAAGGGACGAGCTTTAATCCAACCCTTCTGATAACAGAAAGTTCAACTCTCTGACTCTGACCTGTGAATATCGAGTCTCGCAGTCCCAATTTAGTGTAGCAATGGACGCCACATGGCACGCTTCGTGAGTATACCGCATGCAGGACTGTCTTTGTTTCTGGCATTTTCCCTGGCCTCACCAGTTGCAGGTCTGGGCACCCCTCAGCTCAGCCGAAGCTGTGCCCATACGACGTCTGGTCACGCACGCAGATGAAGCCCAGACCTTGCGGAGATCCAAAGAGGTCTTTACACAATAAGCGTCACGTGCTCAAATCTGAACCACGCTCCTCAGAGGAGGGCCGCTGACATTGCGCACAACCTTGCAGAGGGGCACATTCGCTTCGACCACACGACTGTAGCTCTATGTATGGCGCATATCGTTCCTAGAAGGTGGTTGGTTCCTACTGTAGTCGGTTGCTTGGACTTTAGTCTTCGAGCAAACAGACTTGGTCAGACAAAGCCGAGAACAGGACCCAGCCAGCACTGCAGGAATCCTGTCGTGATCGGCAAATTAAAAGCGGCTTCGTCAAAGCTACATGCCACCCCGTAGATAGCTGCGCTCGCCTTGTCAACCTAAATGTGTAAACCAGAGTCATCTTTAAAAGACTCGGTAAAACCAATTCCATGTAAACCCTGTAAACCTCCAACGTCCTGGTCACAGAGGCCAGGCCCACGCCGCGCGCAGTGCTCACATTGGTCTGCGCAAGCCTCGGCAGATCTCAGCAAGAGCCACATTGGCACGTGCACGGACCAAAAGTCAGTGCAAGAGATCTTCGGAGTGTGTTGCCCGTGGTTGCTCGACGTTGCTTGGCAGACGCTCGTCACATGATGCAAAGGCAATGAGGAAGCACTCACTTTCAAGCACCCTTTCTCCGTTGTGAACTCCTCGGACTGTGGAGGTGGTTTGTCGGGCGGTGTGCTGTGTGGCTTGCCTTTCCTGAGCTCCTGACCAGGCAGCGACCCGCATCCAATCCGAATCCTGGCACGCATTCCTTGACGGGTCACACACAAAGGCCCCTTTTGCAGTGATCTCCATCAACCAAAGCTGAGATTTAAAGATATTTGAAACCTGGATGCCGAGAGTCTGCGCAGCCCGGCGAGACGCCTGCCTGAGCAAAGCTCTGCAGGTGCCAAGCACGGAAGAGAGCGATGGATTGCAATGGAAGCGATAAGCAGGCTGATCTGTACCTCGCAGACTGAGAAGTTCTCCAGAACTCTCCAGGACTCCAGCCCCTGTGCAACGTTTGCAGGCAGTCGCGCAGGCCTCGACAAGGAGACAAGGAAATTAAGGAGACGCGAGCCAAAGAGGCAACTCCAGGGTTCTGCAAAAACAGGTCTGATGAAGAGGAAGTGAAGTGTGAACACGCCAAGAAGCCCACTAACACACAAAGCCCAGTGACGGATGCACACGACCGAGGGGATCGTGGGGACGTGCAGGACTCCGTATGACATGTCGTGCGTTGACATTGGTGACTCTTACGCCTAGGCGCTCTTCTGCCACACAGAACACGTCAAGAGAAACCTGTGTCTTTTCATAGATAGCACCATACATAGCACCCGCACCATCCTCATGATTCCTCATGAAAAGTGAGAAGCCTCGACACTCACGACGGGTACACACTCCGAAGATCAATTTCATGGCTCCAACATGCCAGGCGGCAGGTCTGGCGCATGGTATGGCCATCCGCTAGTGACCGTTTCTGTAGTGTACATGTCAACGTGTGTACAATCAAGCCACACTGAGGGAGAGGAACTATGAGGAACACACAAACCCACAAAAACCCTCAGAGATTTCAACCCTCGCCTCGCAGCTGCGGTCCGGTGTGAGTCCGAAGCCCTCGCGACAGACGTCACAGCGACCCAAAGACAGGTCCTCAGCGCAAAATATTGGGGCTGAGCTTGCATGCTTGTATACTGAGGGTGCGCACGGCGCTTTCCAGGTCTCTCGACTGCGCCAGCTCAGCTTCACTTCAGGGTCTTGCAATGTCTTGCAGGAATGTTGCAAGATGCTAGTGAATCCATGTGAATCCAGTGATATGGGCCTGCAGACCTCACAGCAGTAAGACCAGACGGCTTATCACGACTCACGAAACGCTGCGCTGTCGCAATTTCTTGGGCTCAGGACTCAGAAAGAAAGCGCCTAACGAGGCCTAACAGTCTCATCAACTCAGTTAGTCCTTGTATGCCTTCAACATGCGGTTAGTACTGGTTAGTACTGTTACTTGTAGGCCCCGAGCAGAGCCTGATAGGAAGCCGAATAATGCTGGTAGCTGGCATAGAGCATGTTCTTTGTTGGCTAATACCTCGAAGATTTGTCCTACCTGTGAAGTTGGTATGTTTGAGTGACGTGCGTAGTCTTTCAGCACTGTGTTTCTAATTTCGCTTTTCCCCAGTCGTGGGCGTGAGAGGTTCCCGCAAAATCCACTATTCTGCAAGCTCTGCTTTGAGAAATCGAAGCCCGGGCCCAGTGTAGCTCTTTCGGGGTTCGGCATTACCCTGGACTCCTGAATCTCCTAAACCAGATATCAGAGCACGGGGGTTTGATGGGGTTTGCGCTCGAAAGCTCCGAAGCAGAGAGAGACAGAGACATGGACACATACCCAAAATTACTGCTGTTCACCTGAGACAAACCTGATTCAAACTGCTGCGCGTCAACGTCTTTGCAAATTAATTCGGTACTTAGGCCAAGATATGCCAAGCACATCAAAGCTTCTTGTGACGAAGGGCGCAAACGTCGCAGCCTTCGACCTGGCACTTGGAGCACTCGGTGCCTGCAGGAAATCAAGGGGTCCCGACAGCTTCACTAATTCCCTTCTCGGTCTTCCTGATCCCTCCCAAACACTTGGCCAGAGCCCCCCCAAGCCCCAGGTCCACAGACTCGGTCCAAACAAACCCCAACCTGGGAACATGTGCTTGCACATGCGCAAGCGCAGAATGGAGGCGCAGTTGGCACTTGCATGCCGTTTCACGCGGAGTCAAACATCGCACGTCGAGTGTGCCAAAGCAGGTCCTACCCAGACGGCTCTCCACAACTCGTACCAAACCACGGTAATGTGGCGCTGCCAGCCTGCTTGTAAGCCATAGCCAGCTCGGCAGCTTCCTCTCGGCAACCGTTTTTTTGGCTGAAACCGCTAAACTTGGCGACCACCAAGGTGCGCCATGTCCTTCATCGCAGTGACCTGGCCCAGCTTTACCTTAGACTCCAAGCACATGACCGTGAGTCAAGTCAGTTCCAAGTCTGCAAGTAAGCACTTCGGTAAGGAGGGAGCTTCACAAGGCGATTGCCAAGCAGCAATGATTCTTACAGTACAGCGATATAAATATACATAGTTTGATAGATTGATATTGATATTCTTATGTGACGAAGGCGTCCAAAACATGGCGTGGGGTTGTGGCATAGCGAGTGTGCCTCACAGCCAAGGACAAAAACCGCTGCACCACGCCGTCTTGATCTCTTGGCCCGCAACTCCTCATCCAGCATCATCCAGCATCATCGGTGCAGAGCCCACGATAAAGTGCTATCCCGCGATGAACAGGCCAACATGGCCAGAGGCACCCATCGAAGCTACGATCGATTTAAAGTGTAGACGACACAAAGAGAAGCCCAAGATCTGCCTGTCATATTCTTTTGTTCGCTCAGCGTGTATAAGGCATGCCACGAGAAATCTGCATTCGGCGATGGCGGCCGTTGAGTTGAAACTGCTGTACATGCAAAGTGTTCTACCAGATGCTACCAGACGAGCATAGAATCAACCTTCAAGGTTTGGCATAGTTTTGCTGTGTTGGGCCGGGGGTTATCTGCCATTGGGCCTTGGGCCTATGCTGGACGCCTCTGGCAGCAAAGTCATGCATCTTCAGTCCGAGACCTGATGGCCTGTGCTCGTGACATCTCCGGGTTTCACTGTTGCGCCGCCCTCAAAAGTAGCGGTTGGCTTGAAGTTTCTTGGTTTTGTTTCAAACTTGAGCTGCCCTCATAAGTAGCGGTTGGCCGCTCATGTCATTGAGAGTCGGACTTCCTGTGAACACTGGCACCTTCATGGTTGTGATGGTTGGGGCAGGTGGGATGGTCGGAATGTTCAGGATGGTCAAGGTGACCGTGATGGTAAGGATGGCTGAGATGTACGGGGTGGGAGGCAGGGTGTGGTTGATTCGGCCGGGTGGTCTGGATCCTTTCCTAACGGAACTCTTCAGCACAAGGTGCTGCAGTTGGAGCAGTGCATCGAGCACGGAGCGCAGACTCCTACAGGTCAAGTCTGGATCCGAAGGCGTGCAAGCAAGGCTGTGATGCCGGCACGCTGCAAAGCAAAGTTTTTGAAGGTACTCCGTGACACTCTGCGACAGCTTGCCACATGAAGCCTCTATGAAGCTTTGTCTGTATACGCCAGTATGCTTCATCTGGGAACTTCTTCCGGCAATTGCCAGAGCTAGAAGGGCCCTACTGAAAGGGTTGTTACTACTTACTCTAGAACCTAGAAACATGTTTCAAGTCTCCCCGGTCTCCTGTGGGTGTCAAGCTGAAGCCCTGGTCGCAGCGCTCTGGGTCACACCGGCCTTCTCCAAGTAGCTCACACCTCTCCAGAACAGGCCAAGTCAAGCTACAAGTATGCCGGAGTGCAACCATTTGCAAAATTCTGAACCTTTAGTCCGAAGTGTTGCCGACCCGTTTAGGTACTCTCGTGAAGAGGAAAGCTCTCTCGCTGTGACCCCTGTCACTCAAGTCCATGCAACTCCTTCTCGTCAGCAACACAGCAACGCAGCTCACAGTTGATCAGCCTTGCCTCGAACAGTGATCTGCACAGCTCAGGCAGTCCTCATACGCAAACCATGCGCATGCCATAAGAATCGCTGGCCCCACCCCAATCCAACAGTCCTGTACAATTCTGCTGCCATCGCTCCTGTTCTTGAGGATAGAGCCTTCAGAACACTCCTGCAACAGTGGAGCATAACGTCGTCGATGCCTATGTTTATGTGCATTATTGTAACAGGAACAAGTACATGCCGACTTGCTGACAAACAGCATCAAAGAGCACACATGTCCTTCTATGCATTGCGGCTGTGATGGCAGGCCTGGCAGAAGTCCAAGAGCACGTCGCATCGCCGGCAACCCCGAACTTGGCAGGGCCTGAGCTGGCAACTCTTCATATTCCGTACGTTGCCGGCTTTTGCCCGGATGTGCTGTCACAGATTCACGCGCGTGCGAAGCAACTTAACTTCAAAGCCACAGAATGCCACGGGCCCGAGCTCACAGCTCCGGCGGTCTTTGGCCAGGCCGAACGTGGCCGGGCAGCGACGGCCTAAGGACTCTCTGTCAGCGGCGTGGAATTTGCGGGGAAGAAATGCAGAACTTGACACGAGGCAGCGGCATGGGAGCTCTGTTGGGGTTACAACCTTCGGCTCGCTGCTGTCGCCAGTTACAGAATGACCTCGAAGGCAAGATTCCTCAACGCTTATAGCAACGCTCATAGTGCGCTCCCGGATTCCAAACATGAAGTTCAATGTCCCGCTGGGAATGGAGCGGGAGTCTACATGCTTTTGTCATTGTCATGTCAACGTTGCAACCTTCACCTGTTCGAATGTGCCATTCGGACACGCCCCCAAAGATTCCCACTGAAACTTGCCCGGAACAGCTCAGCCCTGCACCTTTACCTGTACCTGTACCTCTGCAGGTACCTGTACCTGGACTGGACCTGTACCCCTGTGCCTGTTACCTGGACCTGTACCTGTACCTTAGACCTGCACCTGCACCTGTACCTGCACGTGTTTCTGTGCCTGGCCACCTGTACCTTGTACCTCTGTACCCTGTGCCTGTACCTGCACCTGGACCTGTACACGTTCCTGGACCTGTACCTGTCCCTGCACGTCTGGACGTGGACCTGTACCTGTACCTGAAATTTGTACCTGTTTGGACCTGACCTGGAAAGGGGACCGCATGCCGGGACCTGGACCTGGACCTGTACCTGTACCTACCTGTACCTGTACTTCTGTACCTG